TTTCAAAATCTATCAACATTCATCTCTTATATACTCTTGGATTTATCCAAATCTTTCATCTTCTATGTAGATTTTGATTGGTTCTTGCACCTTCTGAGTCATAATGGACATGACATCATGTTGAGTAAATATATTCAACTCTTTCATGTAGACACATGTATCATTCACAAATAGATGTTTTTTATTTTCATGAATTCATCAACCTTGCATTTCATTGTTTAAGAACTTACGTCAATATATATCGTGATTTTGGCAATGTACAGATCAGTTTTTCTTAAACATTTTTATCAAAATTAATTGGTTTTTTCATGTGGATATTTCAATATTGTTATTCATATTATCATTGGAGGAGATGAGAATTAAAATTTCGAATATGTGAAAATGTAACTGATTTGTAAAATAAAATAAAGATAATAGTGGATATTACTTTTAGTTCCATCATTAAAACATAGTTTTCTACTTCTTAAAATTTGATATAAAATTAAAATATGCACCATGTAAACTTCCAAAAGGATTGTTATAAATGGTCCAACCTAACAAGCGCTCAAGTAATGATCATCTTTGAAAACGAAATCAAACTTCAATATTTGACATCTACTTAATCAGAGTAGGCGAGCAATGAAGATAAAGTCCATAGTCAAATTAATAATACAAACTGCATGTGTCTTTACATGGTGCAGTCAGTCAACTATCGTCATGTCATTGCAACACCAACTACACTAAATAGTTAGATTCATTGACTTTCAAATTGTTAATAGGGATTATGGTACATTATAGTTGGTGAGCGACATTCGTATTATTGTGATGTTTGAAAGTGGAAGTATGTTTGGATGTATACGAAGGTTTGCGAATTTCCATCCATTTCTGTTGGGCTCGGCACGGGACGCTTGATTCCTCCGTCTTTTACGGCATGCCTCTGGTTAGTTGAGGAGTCTGCGGTTTCCATCGCGTTATGATCCCATGCATTCCCATTACCCTCGTTCGCATCTTTGCTGTGAATCTGCTGAGCACCATCTGCTGTTCGCTGCGATATTGGTCTTGACTCATCAGACATGGGTTCCAGAATGTCAGTTCGGTTCGTCTCGGACACAAAAGCATATGATCAGATTTTATTTCCTCTTTCGTTATTCCCGAAACGACTGCCAGGAGAGCAGTGGAATGTACATTTTGCTGTGGAGATGCTTTCTTCGATCTGAGGTTCCTGCTGACAATCCGCGAACGCAATGCTCAGCCGCTTCTGACCCCGGTTGATCGACTGATCGGTGGAGATTTAGAATCTTCCGATTGACCGCAGCAACTCTTCCGGAACGTGCTCTCGCATTCCGTGCTGTCCCCACGGGCATCGATGGCCACCGCTGGTTTCTTGAACCAATTTGATCCCTTCCCTCCGCCTGCGTTTGATGGAGCGGAAGGTCACCTCGTTGAAGCAAACGGGGTTCTTCTGCCAGCAGCTTGTGATCCATTTGCTCGTGGTGTGCCTAGGCCAGGGCTTTTGTGGGCTGCGGCCTGCACTAACCCTTTTCCTGCATGTTGCGGCCACGGGTATTGATGGCCACCGATGGTTTCTTGAAACAATGTGATCCCTTCCCTCCGCCTGCGTTTGATGGATCGGAATATCACCTCGCTGAAGTAAACGAGGTTCTTCTGCCAGCAGCTCGTGATCCATTTGCTCGTGGTGTGCCTGGGCCAGGTCTTCTGTGGGCTGCCGCCTGCACTAACCCGCATGTTTCCTGCATGTTGCGGACCGTGAGTTGCTTGTTGGAATGTTTCTCTACCCCTTTTAGTGGCTTCTTGGATCTTTTGCAGTCTCATGCTCCAAACCCCTTTCCTGCATGTTGCGGACCGTGAGTTGCTTGTTGGAATGTTTCTCTGCCTCTTTCAGCGGTTTCTCATCTCCAGATTCCTTCTTCGTGTTCTTTTTTTCTTCTTTCTTTTGATTATCTATCCAATTTTTTTTTATTTTTTTTTTCCGGCCCGAGCCCTTTTTGATCGGAGGATTGCTATTACTGCAAAACAAGGTTTTCCTCCCACCACTGAGCTCACTATGTACCCAGAGATTAATTGGGTTCTTGGAGCTCAAGTTGATATATTATTTGGCGTGCCACGTGTGTCGACACTTGCTTCCACATATTACTCCAGCTGAAGAATGTTGGACTTTTGTCGTGAGGTTGTGCAAACCATTGAAACTGGTCTCCCCTCCTGATCTTCCTCCAAGTCGATGAGCTCCTAATATTCTCGAGTTTAGGTTACAAAATCGGGACGCTTACAGTTGGCACCTCACAGCGCTCGGTAGAACTCCACCGGTATCTAATCCAGAGGTGATGTATTAGTGTGATGGCTCTGGGAACCTCTAGTACACGACTTTCAGATTCGCATCAGTCCAAGTCTAAGCCTGCATTAAGGGCTGTTGACAGGCTTAGTATGCAAGCAGCGACCAATGAATTTCAAAGGGTAGATATAACAAACTGTGATGAGTACAGTTAATGAAAGATTAGAGTCAGGAACCAAGATTCTTCTGTTATTAAGAAAGGAAAGTATTTCTTTGCCAGTACGCTTAACACTGGATCCCAAGTAGATGATGTTTAGAAATAAAACCACGTCATAATTGTAGCGAATCGTAGCCGAAAGTCGAGAGAAGCAGCTACAATACAAGATAATACAAGAAAGGAATTTGATTGGTGATAATCGAGACAAGCCTCGTTGAACTCCGATGATAGAGCACGACATAATAAGGCCTCAGAATTTCTATTTTTGATTAACTTGCTGATGATTAGAGACAGTATCTGGAATTAAAAATTTCAGAAGTATCTCGGAAATTATGCAATATGAAGGATATGCAAGCAGAACTGTTTCGACTGTCATTGACCTTGGGAGAGAGATAGAAGCATCTTGTCGAGCGCACAGGGAGTTGCCAACAGAAAAGTGGTTTGCTTCATTATCCAGGAAGTGATGTTTGCCTCGAGAGATCAACATCCTAGACTACAGAGATCAAAGCTCTCCATGTGAATGGAACGACATGAAATCGGGATCATGTGCTAGACCCTTCGAATCATGGGCCATAGGTGTACACGTCACATCAGCATAAAGTCAAATGGAATGAACATTTCAACTATTCTCTAAATCTACGCAGCTATTCCACGACCACTCAGGGTATTGTAGTGTTGCCATGCGAAATCATGCGTCTGGTTGAAGTCGATGAAAGCATCAGCTGGCTGTGGGCCCCCGAATCTAAAAAAACCCAGGAACCAGTTGTTGAGGCGTGTTCGGCGACGCCAAAGTTTTGGTGGCGGCCATGTGGACCTCAGAAACGTGAGCAGCGCTTCTCCGCAACGCATTCGCCGACGCTCATGTCACGCTCTCTTCACAGTATCTTCACAGTTTCAAAAAGCTAAGACTAGAGACTGCACCGGGCTCGATACGCGTCTGGTAGCAACCATGACTGGCGGAAGAACACGCAATCAATCTGATCGATCCTTGAGGTTAACGATATTAATGAGCTTTGACGATATTAAACCTCATTCTTGAGCAAAGGCTACATGTTGGTGAGAATCAGATCTTTTGCATGATAGAGCAGTTAACGAGAAAGGATCCACCGGAATGAAACTTTCTCATTTCACAAAAGCAAGTAGCTGTACTGCTTTAGCCATCTCAGAATTCGTATCAAAAAGCAGGCGATGTCTCAGTTGTGACGGTAGTCTTCCAGTGGTCATGAGGGCATCGCCTGATGTATAAACGTCTTTAAAAAACTTTAAGATGTTTCTAGACCTGGGAACTTCCCACTCTTCCCACAAGTCGAAAGTACCTATCTTTCCAGAACCTGTTACAGATGTGAGGTCTCCAGATATGACAGCAAGAAGCCACTTGATGCATAATAATTGGGTATCACAAGCTTATTAACGGATGAACATGCTCTGGCATTGTACTATGACGAGGTGTATTTGTAACACATACTGGATCCAACCAGAGTCTTGGATGTGTAGCTTCCGCTTTGCATGACTTCCACTGTCAAAATGCTCCAGACGAAAAGAACAGAAATGTTTGGTGCCGATGCTATTTTGGCCTTGAGGTTTCCAGCTCTTCGAGTCTTTCTCCAATGCACATGATATCTTGTGACCGTAACCTTCTCCAGTTTAGGTCCTGAGCTGATAGTTACAGGTAAACATTACAGGTCGACATTATTCATAATTATTGACAGTCCATCTGCTGGATCGACCTAAGCACATCGCTTTGTATGAAAGAATTTTATACTCACAAACTCAATCTCAGAATCTAGAAGTAAAGATGCAGCTGATAATCAAAATATATTTTTAATGTGACGCCCTGTCGAAACGACTGGGGCAATGTTGAACACAGAGCATCTCAGTACAAGTTGCTCACGACTGGATTCAACATTCCGGTAATTGTCCCGGGCTAGCATCTGCCAATTATATCGGACGTGTTGCTCACCATCAGTTCTTTCGAATCCATCGTAGCAAGTCGATTACAGATATTCGAATCCAGAGCGCAGCAACTAGACCGTCAGAATAATGAGATGCCGAGAGTCGGTAACCAGCTAAATTTGTATGAATAACCCGGCAGTATGCACTACGAGGTGAATAATTCTATCAATAGACTGACTTGCAATTAATGAGTGTCAACTTGATCTCTATTAGAATAATCGCATCCACTAAATCAACACAGCATCTTTCGACGACTTCGCTTGTCGTTCTATGCAACTGCTACAGCGAATCTTCCAAGTCGTTCTCTGATGTGTTCAATACGCGTGCTGGTAGGTGCTTTTGACAATTTCCGTAATCAAAATTGATGAAAACTTGAATTTCTCATTTAGAGGTGCGGCAATAAGAGGGCTGAGAATTGAAGGTAGTTTTGAGGCACTATATGGCACTGAATTCCCGTCCAATGAGAATGTAAAAGCCCATAATTCTTCGAGTGAAAGGTTGGCAACGCTTCGGGATTACCAGGTTTGAGTACGAAAAAGTTGTCATTTTTGGATCGCAGAATAATCGGGACGGACGATCTGTGCGGACATGTAAGGAACTTCTCGACCAGATTCCATTGAACCTTGTGACTATGACTACGATGGCGAGGTTACCGTCAGCAGTTTTTTAATCTTAATTGGAAGATAGAGCAGTCCTAATTTGCACTCGAGAAGATCGGGTTATCGGACGAGAAATCGGCCTTCTCACAGAAATGGTAAAAATTCCGGGGACGTGAAGAATCTCTATAACTAAAAAAATATCAAAGAATGACGGCCCCACGCCAGGTAATTCAACTGCAGTGAACAATTTGCTCAGGGTATAGGGTACAATCTCAATTGACCAAGTAAGTCCTTGTCTGAGGCCAAAGCTGCAAATTGACTGCAGAGCTGAACAATTTCACGCCCTCATAGTCTGAATGTGGCCCCGCTAAGTCCTCAATTTATGATCCTGTATCTCGACCAGTCCGTTGGAGCTGATCTGGAAAAATAGGCATTCAACATTTACACGACCCAAGCGGGAAATGGAAAAAGAGGAAAGAGGCAAGTGCATTTGTCAAAAGCAGCACATTTCTGACATCGTACTTCACATCCGTTCCGAAGTAAAGACATTGATACGCATGACGTGAGCATCAGAGCAAAATAGCTATCTGAGCTATCATTTCTGTCATCTGTCCCCAACTCTGGAAAGCGGCCTAAATAGATTTCCAGGCACTATGCACCACGCAGTCGCCTAGAACGCTGTGAGAAGCAGAATCAATGATCGAAGAGTGTAGACTCTTAGGGATATCCGTCACGTGAATGAAATTGTGGAAGGACTTCATGTTCCACATAAGCCGAAGCCGACAGGTGAAACCCGCAGATCGGCATTGCAATCTCGCCAACATTCGCTGCGGAAACTCAACTGCCAATCTACGATCATTCATAGCGAGAAACAGGCTCAGAGTAGGCAGTTTACAGATACTGTCTGCCTGACCGCCACGAGGAGTAGTCGTCACTGTCATGACAAGGGCACGTAGCATCACAATCAAGCAATCCCTTGTATCCGCTTCGGTGTCGTCGTGCACCTGTTTTCGCTTCGACATCGTTGGAAGAAGAAACGCTGTCGATTTTACAAGACTACAAGCTCTTCTAGTACAGTGGCCTACAGCTGCGAATGACGAGCATCAAGGGCATGCAGAAACTAATTTTCAGAACACCACCGTCATGCGCCACGGCCGAAAACGATGCCTGTCATAATCTGAAATGTAGACTAAGACTTCGCCCAATGTTTTTGCAATTAACACGCAAAAGTGACTGCCAATGGAAACAAACATCTGATGAACGCTGGCAGATACAACTCGGGATCCTATCAGTCTGAATGTAAGCTAAGCCAATGGATGTCTCAGTCTGAATATACACAAAATGTCTGAGTCCCAGAGATGGCAACTGCCGTGCAGATAGCGCAAAGAGAAAGCCGCCATCTGAACGCACTTCACAATCGAGACGTGTCCTCTGTTTTCTGTTGTCACAAGCTAGCTAGCTGCACATGGGATTGGATGTGTTTCCAAAACACATCTTACCGTGTTATATATTCGTCTGATGGGAGACGAGCTCTGTCGTAGAAGGGATGCCCAATATTGAATCTCAATAACCCCACAATCCGCCCACAGCGAGCGTCGTCTGCTCTTGAGTAGAACGGCAATGTTCATCTCGCAAGCATAAGAGTGATGGCCGACATGATTTGAAGCTGCTGCCTCTACTAATGCTCGGGGTGAAATTCAGGATGAAGACGAGGATTCCCTTCGAGGGCTATGGCTGGAACGTGGTCGTGAAAGAAGTCCAGATCCCGATGACTATCCGAGGGACGAAGGAGGAGACAGAGGTCTTCCGGACCTGAGTGCACCGGCTAAAGAACGAAGTGTCTCGCCACCCGGTCAATTTCGAGGCAGTCAACCGGGAACCCCGAAGCGAAAACAGCGCGACCGGGACGAGGTGCGGAACCGAGTCACCAAAGCTAGGGCCGTGGACATACTTGCCATTTTCTTTCCTTGTTATCCAGTCCGTCCCGTATTTAGGTTCGTCCGGTACTCGTGGTCTGGGATTTGTCTTTAGGTCGGCAGAGACTCTGACGCTGTGCTGGACCAGGATGTGAAATCGCCCCCGAGGCAGGTGCCACGGCTCGGCCCGGGCCCCGCGAGTCCCGAACGAAGGAAGCCTGGGCAGTCGCAGCATGGAGGCAGCAGCTCCAGCAGCAGGGCCAAAGTCACCCTCAAAGTTCTGGCAGAGGACAGCGACATCGAGCAATACTATCGACAATTGACGCTTCTCGGGAGCGGAATGTTCGGCAGCACGTACGAGGTCGAAGACGTGAATAATCCGAGGATTCGTTTGGCGATGAAGGTTCAGACGAAGAAGTCCAAGTGGTTCGTTCACGTAAGCGAGCCCGAGAACGAGCTGACGAGGATCTACAAAGAGTTCATGATTCTGAACAGGATCCTCCCCAAGCACAAGCACATTATCGAGGTCAAGGACTTGCTCGTAAGCCCCAACACCGTGTACATCGTGCTCGAGCTCTGCACGAGCTTGAACCTCGAGAGTTTCTACCGAGTAGCGGACAATGCCAGCGGGCGCAGAGTGTTCGGCCAGATAGCCGACGCCCTTCGTTTTATGCATGAGTATGGCGTCGTGCACTTGGACATAAAAGGAGATAACGTTCTCTTCGCTGACAACGAATACCAGAATATTAAGGTCATAGATTTCGGTATTTCCCAGTACAGGCCGGAGTGGGCCAAAAAGGTCCACAAGAATTTCAACCCAAAAGATTGGTTCGACGCTCAAGAACTAGAACCTGAAAACAATTTAACACAGGTGCGTGATATAAAAAATCTGGGCCATGTCTTGCTCTGCATCATGTGTGGCAGGCACGTCATGTCCAGCCACAACGTCGGTAACATGAAGTCCAAAACCAAGCCTAGGCTGGATATCTTCGATGAAAGAGCCATGAATCTGCTCGAGATGATAGGCCCTCGTCCGTTCGGACCCGAGCGAAATGAGGACTTCCCCACCATGGACCAGATCCTTAACCACCCTTGGCTCACGGGAGGAAACGTAAGCCTCCAGCACAGAAGTCTGATCGCTGAGTTCGAGCTGCTCAAAAGGGATTTCAACGTACTGAAGGTCCTCTTAAAAGACTGGGCCATCATACCCCCGAAGCTAATAGGAGACGAGGATCAGATTGCCAAGCACTACCAAACAACCGGCACCGTTCACAAGGGCCCCTACGATAGCAGACTGCCGGAGTGCACGGCCGTGGGCGATGCGTACATGGAGCCCCGCCTCATGAAAGTGCTGTACCGGGGAGGGGATCCGGCGATATTCACATCTCCCACCGAGTCTACGCAAGAGTCGCTGAGGGTTTTCGGTGAGTTGCTGCTCACGTTAAGAATCCTGCCCATGCATGAGAACATCGTCGAATTCGTCGATGTGCTCGTGCATAAAGACTACGCGCTTCTTATAAGAGACTTGTGGGGGACGCATACGCTAGAGGAATTTTTTAGGCAAGCCACGGATCAGAATGCGCGCCTCGTGTTCAAGCAGCTGGCAGAGACAATTCGCTTCTTGCATCAGTATGGAGTGGTGCATATGGACCTGAGGGCAGACAATGTTGTCTTCGAGGACGATACGTTCTCGAAGTTCAAAATTGTGGATTTCACTTATGCTCTTTACCTTCCAGGCATGGCTCAACGCAGCAACGATCACTTCCAAATAGACAAATGGTCGAACCGTGAACTCCATCTCATGTCTCTTACCGCTGATCCTGAAGTAGATATCAGAGCCCTGGGCAGGATTTTGCATTCCATGATGGCTGGCAGCTGGCAGCGAGACCTGAGTAAGCTGAGTGCGCCTCGAGCGGATGCTTTTGACCCAGCTGCTTCAGATTTGCTTCTGAAGATAGGCCCACCACCTTTCGGACCACCTGAAGGCGAGAGAGTCTTAACCATCGACGAAGTATGTTCCCATCCATGGCTTCGGCTTTCTGAGCCAGAGGGGGATGCCGGGTATGACGAGTATGACGAGCCATATGAGGAAGAATATGAACCGTATGATGATACTCCATGGCAGATACCTGATCCATTTTGAGAGTCCTGGTTACGTTCCTTACGGTGGTGTCGAGGAATCTCTTCTTCGTGAAAGATCACATACATTACAATCTATGCACCGTGATATATGGAACTTTCATGGGGTAAAACCAACACGTCAGAGCTCCAAGGAAAACTAATACTGAAAGAGCTTCAAATTTTGACATTTAACCAGCACGTGGATCTATGTGCTCTTGAGAAAGCAGGAGGAAAGAACGTTCAGCGAGTAACTTCCAGGACGCACATCACGAATTCAAGCAATGTCAGTAAGTTTTCAAAATCAGGTGAGGTAATCATTGTCATTTATTTCTACGATGAGTATTTCTGGGCTTTAATGTAGAGAGCTTTCTTTGCCTAGATCTAGTGTGTCACCATTTCCAACGTGAGCAGGAACAAAACGTCAGTATCTGAAAGGTCGAATCATAGTGTTTTCGTAGAAAAAAAATAAATTTGGTACCTTTAGTAAGTACTGTGGAAATTTCGACATCAATTTTCTAACGGTACGTATGACAATCCCAATACTGACCACCAGAGTTTGGAAACAGTGTCAAGAACTTCTGAAAGCTCGAGGCGATCAGTAAGTCTCCCTTTATTTCTAATTCCCTTGTTTGAAGGGTTAGATCACCTGTAAACTTGTTGGATAAAAACATTAGGATTAAATTCAACAATAATTTCAGAAAATAAGTTACAGATACAATAATAAAACTTCTTTCAAGGTGAAATACCTTTGAGGCTCGAAGTTAGGTAGAAGTGGTTCTAAGCGTACATATCAATTTAAGATTTGACTCTCTCAATACAGAGAATTGGACTACTCTTTGCGCAATCGCACGAGGAAACCCTCTATGTTCCTTGACATGACGAACATGGATGCAGTTTCAACGAAATGCATAGAACAAAGCTATCGTTCAGCAGATATGTTTTCAGGACATAAGTTACTTGATGCTTCTTCCGCCAATTACAGTCAACATAAGGAACGTCACTTGCAGCTGCAAGTAAATGCATTTTTTTGGCTTTTTGGCTTATCCATAGTATTGCAGAATTTTTACGTTCCTAAGAAAAATCTTTAGATTTCAGAAAAAACATGGTCCAAGGTCCGAGAAGGAACAAGACCAGAAAGGAATTGATGTACGCTGTAAGAGGCCTCGTTAAAGGTCTCCTAAGAACTGATAAGATATAAAAAATTATTCTGTGAGAAAAATTGCGACGGATAGCAATGGTTTATCCATTCGACATGGTTTCAAGACATGAATTGGATTTTGATAAGACAAGTTTCCTAGATATCCCAATGAGGTGTTTGAATTCCGATGTTCTCAAGTTTCTTCTGTTAAGGTCGTTCAACTTGCACTCACTTCGGATAAGCTTTCCTTACAGAGAAAATGACTGATATTCCATGGGATTCTGCTTATTTAATTAGCACTACAGTAACTGGGCGGTTAAATCTTCCTGACAGCACAGGCCAAGCAGCATCGGAAGTCGATGTAATCAGATCATATTCATCAAACAGAGCTCAGGGTGAAGCCTAGATTTGTTCAAAACATATAATAAGAGGAAATGGATGACATACACATACTTTAATAATTACTTTCCCGTAATTGACATTCAGGATTCTTGTTTTTGCGGCTCTAACTTGTAGAAAATGCCTTAATATCCTACATAGATGACAGTATTGAACCTGTCCAAGTATGCTGGGAGATTATACTCTAAACAATCATTCCGACAAAGCTTCATATCATAAAGAATGAAATTATAATGACTATGGAACATCAGTGAACATTAATTCAGATCATGTCATCTTGGCGGTTTCTGCAGACTTTATTCTCTCTTTATATCTTGATGTTTAATAATAACAAGAATGTTTCTTCCAGTCAATCTTAAATTTTTTCTCTGATTGTAATCTACCTGGAGATATGCATGAGCTGACTTAAATTTGACCAGTTCATTTGGAAGACATAAATCTTTTTCTCACAATTGAGCATCTTGTAAATCTCAATCTCTGACGACACTGCGGGCTCAAACAACGACTGTACATGAGACAATTGAAACAGATGAGACTTTAGCTTCGAATCTGGTATTTAATTGTTTGCTGCGTTTCGTTATCTGCTGTTTGCCAAATCTTTTGGCTGCCCTGTGGATGTCGTATTACCAATGTTCATTATCTTCTGTTTCCACGGGTGTATATGCGCTTCCACTTCACCTCCAACGAACACTTCGTTCTTTAAGCACTGTCACTACCTACGACAGGACGGTTTTACCGTCCAGTGGGAATGTGCATGCTTAATTTATTGGAAGTGAAAGGTTGCCAACGCTTCAGAACATACCAGTTTAGAAATCAGTACCCTCATTTTGCTTCTTTGGTGAGTACGGGTCCGAAGCTTTTACGTGGATGCTGTCCACGTAAAAGTGAGATCCGTGAGATCAGAACCATGAGGGCTGGGTTACCATTGGAACTCTTCGTTCTCGAGATAAATACTCCCTTGCAATTATGCTTCAGAGAGAGCAAATTTCCTTACCTATGATCGAGGTCAGAAGTTTGGTTATTTTAGAGTACAATGTAACAGAGGTAATTCCGGTCACATTTCTATTAAGAATCAGAAATTCAATGTACAAAAATGGAGTTTTTTTGACGTAAAAGATTGCCTCGAACTTTTTGTCGCTCGGTGAGAGCTCTATCAAACTTCTTGGAACTTTCAATGTCATGATTAACAGCAACCATTCGGAGGTCAAATTGCCTGTATTGTGTACGCACTGCTAGTTATCGATCAACTGAAAGGAGACCAGCAAAAACTTTCTTCCCCACATTATAGCATGTGATTGTGCTGTAATGTGGGGCATCAGTCTCTGACGCCAGATTGTTTTTGATAAAATATGCTTGTGTCCCTTGAGGAGACCCTTCATTGATCAGGATGGTAAATCAACAGCATCTTTGATGCTGCTCAGACTGCATAGTAGGACCAATTTTCGTACCTCAGATTGGTTTGTGTTTTGGTCGAAACGATGAACTTTTGCACCATGAAATGATGACTACTTCTAACAGGCTTCAGCTTTTATTCCTACGAGCAACGAGTCGTCACTAATTTGGACCATGTGTCCTCGAGTGGTTGCGTTATTTGAATCATCGCGTGGGTATGTCCTGCAGTTCTAGAATCCGTAGAATTACGTCTTTCAAACAATAGTTTTACGTTATTTCTGTTCATGAAATTGAAGCCCGTGGATTTAATAGTATTACCAGGTGAGAGATTCTCCGTCAGTGACTTGAGGAAAGAGATTAATCTCAACGGCTAAGTAAGGTTCTTGATGTAGATTGCTCCTTCACACGAGCAATGTCATCTCAATTGAACTGCATTCATCATATTCAGTAAGAAGTTGTGTCCTAAACTCATTCAATCTGCCAGTTTTTTTCTTAAAATTCAGGGAGGAGCCCTTACTGCTCTGCAATAGAAATTTCTTCAAGGTGTGGTGGAGGTTGCAACACTGGCAATCTTATCCACGTAGATCCAGGGAGATTACACCCTGGTCCCAAATTGGGAGAATCAGCACGTCCTGCAGATCGATAAGATTAGACGAATCGATCAAAATTGATCATGTATCTAGAAGGCCCTTACTGACAGGCACGTTCTAAAGGCCCGGACTCGAAGAATCTCACTAGCACACAGAGTGACGTGAGACAGACGAGATGCCTACACGCAATCTCGGAGACAAACGACATGACCGACGAGACGACCGAGGTGACAGAAAAGTCAAAAGATTCAGAGGAAATGATCCACGAGACGTCCGAGACGACGGAAGAGCTTTAGAAGGAGGGCCGAGCGAGGTAAATCAAGACAAGCCTATTCAGCTCACTCATGCATAGTTCGTGACGGCCGGTCATTCGGATTCAACTGGAAGAGTAGTTTCGAATCTCTGAGCAGATAAGGGTTTAATGAACGACGTGTCTAATAATGATGAATATTGTCGAGTAGATGTCGCCCCGTTATCGCTGTACTTTCCTCACCAGGAATGTAATCGAGCGCGAGTTCAATGATCCATCCTCAGTACTAGCTAGTGTCGTTAGACTCATACCCAAAGAAGTGGGTGCTCTAAGGGTGGATGAACTTTCTTAAAAAAAGACCAATTTCTGCTCCTCCTCCTCACCTTCGTTCTCGCCCGGAGGATCATTGACCCAAGTACAAGATGATTTGCCAAGGATGTGATCCCTAAGCTGATTAAAAATCCAAACTAGAATTCCAAAATTTTTGGCGTAGCTGAGTATTTCCTGGGTCTGGAGGATGTGAAGATTTCGCTAAGGTTGAAGGAAAGGCCTTTTTTTTCGTTCAGATCAGATGGACCCCTAGCCATAGAAAGGAAGAAATTATTTTTTTCGCTCACAGGAGACGTCGGAGCGACGACGATAATCATGTAGAACTGCCTGGTTTTACTACCCTTTCATGCTGAATGGCGAATTCCACGTCTATACTGACGCTGTCAGATGGGGTCTGCGATTTACGTAGATTTACAGGCAAGATGAATGACCTGAGAGCAGAGGTCGATGCCTTAGTCTCGGCTCTTAGCCCTTTCTTGCGATTGACACGGACATTGTGATGATCAGATCGCAGCAGGTGTTCCAGGAAGTCCACAAAATAAGGAATATGCTCTCATTAAAGTCCTCGAAGAAGACGAAGATATCCACAACCACTACAAGCAGCTGGAGCTGCTCGGAGCAGGCACGTTTGGTGAGACCTTCTTAGTTGAAGACGTAAAAAATCCCCAGAGTCCAAGGTTAGCAATGAAGGTACAGAACAAAAAGGGCTTTGGGTTTTTATTACGAGACGACATAGAATCGGATCTCTCGAGGTTGTACAAAGAAATGTTGATCCTGATCAAAATTCTTCCGCCACACAAGAATATTATTGAGGTCAAGGATTTGCTGGTAAGCAGAAACTGCGTTTATATCGTTCAGGAGCTATGCACTACATTGACCCTCGACGAATTCTATCGTGTCGTCGATAATACAAGCGCGCAAAGAGTTTTCAGGCAGATAGTCGATGCTGTTCACCTCATGCATGAGTATGGTGTGGTGCACTGTGACTTGAAAGAAGACAACATTCTGTTTCAAGACAAGGAATTCATGGAATGCAAGGTCATAGACTTCGGCGTATCTATCTATATCCCAGACTGGGCCACAAAGTTTCATAATTATTTCATCCCAAGCATTTGGTTTATAAAGGAAGATCTAAAGCCACCGCCGTTTATATCGAAAACTAATGATATAGAAAGATTGGGCCAGATATTGTATCATATGATGGCTGGCGGTGCTCCGCCTCTACTGAGCGATGACCCTGACATAGAAATGAGGATCAACACGAGGCCTAGATTGCAACTTTTCGATGAAAATGCAAAGGATCTGCTGGAAAAGATAGGCCCCTACCCTTTCGGACCTACAGACCCAGCTAATTTTCTGACAATAGAGCAGGTCCGTGAGCATCCCTGGCTTACAGGAGGCCCTCTCACTCGCCCTTTCCTGATATATAGAGCGGAGTTTTCTCGCCTCCAGGACGATTTGACGGCTCTGAGAATCATCCTAAAAGACTGGGAGATTTTTCCGTTCATCAGGTTTGTTGAGAATCTTGAGGAGGTTTTCTCTCAATATTTAATTACAGGTGACGCTCAAACAATCGGCTCCGTCTCTAACCTCTTCGAGTGCGAGGACACCATAAAACGTGGTCCCCATGTGATGAAATTCATGTACAGAGTAGGAGACTTGTCGATAGTACAAAGCTTAGAAGAGTCGGAGAGGGAGCCTTTACGAATATTCAATGAACTGTGGATCACGTTAAGAATCCTCCCGAAGCACGCGAACTTTGTGGAAATCATGGATGTCCTCGTCCACTCCGAATTCGTCGTCGTCGTGAGAGAGTACTATGGGAGGATGACGCTAGAAAACTTCTTCACCGTCTCGACGGATGATAGTTCTCGGATCGTTTTCAGGCAATTAGTACACGCCGTTCGCCTGATGCATCTCTACGGAGTGGTGCACATGGACTTGAACTGCCATAACATCATCTTCATGGACACGGAGTTTAATCAGAATTTTAAGATCGTGGATTTCAGCAAGGCCCTGTACAGTCCGACCCTAGCCAAGAGCAGTGTTGACCACTTCCACCCGGGCAAATGGTTCACTCCCAAGCTCGCCGTCATGGCCCTTGCCGCCAGCGTTGAAGTAGACGTCCGAGCCCTGGGCAGGATTCTGCTCGCCATGACAACTGGATTCTGGCAACCCGGTGAATTGAATCCCTTGTGTCCGCCTATGCGTGAAGTATTTAGCGAAGAGTGTATGGATTTGCTCTCGAGAATAGGCCCAGCTCCCTACGGACCAGGTCCAGGAGAGCACACGCTAACCATGGACCAGATATGCGCACATCCGTGGCTTGCTCCAGCGTAGACATGATGCTCGGAGACTATGGAAATCCGAAGGTTTATGTAGATTCGTTGTGAAAAACCGATCAGCATGAGACGAAGCAGGTAAGTTCGAATACGATAGAATGTGTATTGCATGAGCTTGAACAACTTTTCACTGGTCGGATTCGTCAGCCAGGGACCTTTGACTCCGTGACCTCGGGGTCTAAGCGCCAGAATCTCTTCGCATCCTAGCGTCCATCGCTCGACTGCTCTCGTGAATTTAATCACGAGGAAATTGTATGATTGGTTTGATAAGTGGAGTTCGAGCAAAAGAGTCACGGGATAAACCAGCGATGTCGATCCCTTCGAAGCATTGAGTTGATGGCAAGGCCAATGTTTGCAGACATTTGATCTTGTGGAGGTAAAATTTTGCATCTCACAATTAGGCCAGGATTGGCACTGACCTGAAGACGCAGATGTTGTAGTCATGTCCAAGACATCAACAGTATTGTGTTCTTCTAAAACTGGGGCCCTTATACACAACGCCTCAATGGCGAGTGCTAGACTGTCAAGGCACTCTACAATTACTGGGTCCGCAACTAACTGCAAGGTACGTACCGTCAGACTGAGAAGCACAGAATGAAAGAAATATCTCTCGTCAGGTGGTATGAAGGAATACGGAGATCGATGACTTTAGAAGTTCCTGAAATAATGAAGCAAAAAATATCTACCTTGGAAGACACCCCCAAAACATAAGGTTTGTGAGGTATTTGTAAGAAACTAAATATATATATATATATATATATATATGGATGGTTCAATCTGTCCGAATGATCGGCCAACTGCCTATGAACATGTACTTCGGAACCACGCTCTGTACCGCAGAACTTGCAATTTAATAGAAACTCCAGATTGTTCTGTAGAGACGTAGGTCCACCGCATACTCGCGCTTGACAACTGCCAAGATCAATAATGAAGGAGCAGATACTTCATCTCAATACTGCATGGAAGTTAGTAGATCCAGGGTGGATCAAAGCTGACAGTCTGTTTTCTATATTGATCCTTGTCTCTCGACTCCACAGAATTATCGATACCAACCAGAACAGAAATTTCTTACGTAGCAGCTGAATCAGGTAAACATAAGGCTTCTTACGAACCTGATATTCCCTGTAAGTACCCTTGCTTTTGAAAACCCAAGAATGCCAGCTACGTACCATAGCTGGCATTCGAGTTTGGTTTGTCCTTGTAGATTTGTTTCAGTCTGCCCGTCTACTAACCTCAAGCGAATTCCCCGTCCAATGAGAATGTACAAGCTAATCATGTTCCAGGTGAAAGGTTGGCAACGCTTCAGATTGATCATGCGTTTTGTGATTAGCAAGCATCATCGTCCGTCCTGCGATTGCATGGCCACAGAGGTGGGAGAATTCTTGCACAGATGTCGAGACAGTTCCATCGGGCTCTGATCGGGCCGGGGCTAATTCAGAAGGATCTCTAGCTCGGTGGTGATTCAAATGGCTGGCTCACGTCGGACATCGCTTGTTTCAGAGCGTTCGATCTATAATTCTACATCTACGTAAAAATCTGCCACTGACCCAGAAGTTCCGATAAGCTGAATTTAAGAATCTCTGCATAAGACAGTTCTACAAAATGAAGCGTGGTCACAATTCAGACGATGCAGAAGGAGGACGAGAAGATGAAGAGGAAAAGGTGAATTAAGGTCAACTAAGTTCAATTCTAATAACAATTAGTCAGAGGAACCTTGCTAGAAGAGTGCAAGGTTTAGTTCATAGGGCTTGAATAACAATCCCATTAAACTTGATGCCGCCTCTAATGGCCCGCTTATCAATCCTGTGACTTCTTAGCCTTGGATAAACCAGCTGAAGTTTCATGATCCTGCATGGGACCTTAGATCGATAGATTCAAGCCTTAAAGCAAGTGAGGCAGTGTAGGGGCTCGTTGTAATTCGGTAAGAAGATGCTTCCTGATTCGAAAGGATTGATTGACTTATTGATTCCGTCGAGAGGATCTTTGTTCCACCCCGACATACAGAACCCTAATATGTCTGTGTAAGAAGAGTTGTCAGCGATCCCTAACGCTGAATCGACGTCGCTTGCATAAACGACATACAACGCAGAAGGTTGAGAGAAAGTTGGAAGACAAGTCTGGCAGATGCCAGACTTCCTGCCACAACTGTAAAATTCTATAAGAAATCATTCTGTTGCACTGTCAAACACTAGATTGCTGTTTCTTGAGTTGAGCATTGCAGGGATCTTAGTCAAGTCAATAAGGCACATTCTTTGTAAAACATCCCACGACGTGACTAGAAGGTTCCCGACAGCGTGAATGCAAAAGCTTGTGCCCAATCTAAATTCATCTCCCGAACAAATTGTCCACGTTGACAGTGGCAGCCGCAAACTTGGACCATCGATAGCGTCCAGCAGAAATTATGGAGTACTAGAAAATAATGAGGCAACCCAGGCCAAATTGAATGTCATTGCAAAGGAAACCTACTTTTTCCAGAGTCATAGCCTGGAAGCCGCGATTCATTCCAACCGATTCAGTCTGCTGAAATATATTCCAGGCATGGATCATATGATAGAACAGATTAAAGTTTTATCAAACTAGTTAGCTAGACACAAAAGCAATGATCTAGAAAAGTGATGGATCAAATACCGAGTCTTTGACCACATCGTGACATTTACACACAGTAACGAGTCCAAGTCAGGGAATCCATCATTGCCGTCATTCACCTGAAACCAATTTAGGTGCACAGATCTCCAATGTGAAAGAAATGACAAGTCATTTCCAAAAGTTGGCATCTGAATCATACACGGTCAATGACTGATGGGAACGACCCTCATTAACTGATAATCTTAAAATCATGGCAACTGTGGTCATGTAGAGGACAAAGGGAGATGGGCCTTCTCTGAATGTGAAAATCCTGAACAGCGAGGAAGAAATGAGCAACCATTATAAACAACTCGACCTGATCGGGGAGGGATGTTTTGGTCAGACTTTCATAGCTCACCCGGCAAACAATCCGCGTATCAGATTTGCGATGAAAGTTCAGACGAAGGAGAACCCATATGCCCCGGCAGCCTTCGGGAACGACGGAGCCTATGCAGATGTGCTGAGATTGTACAGAGAAATAGTAATACTAACCAAAATACTTCCCAGACACAGGAATATAATTCAGGTTAAAGACACCCTCATAGGCCCGGATAACCTTTATATCTTGACTGAATTATGCACGCAATATACTCTCGAAGACTTCTTCCCCAAGGCCGATGCTGTCACGGGCAAGAGAATCTTCAGGCAGTTGGCGGATGCAATTCTGTGCATCCATCAGCACGGAGTGGTCCATTGGGACTTGAATTTGTTTAACATTCTTTTCGTTGATGAAAACCTGGAAGAATGCAAGATCATAGACTTTGGTTTATCGGCTTATCACCCAAGCTGGGCCACAAAGACTAACAACAATTTTGATCCGCGAGCGTGGTTTCGCGAAGAAGAGCTAGATCTACCGATGGGCCCAAACAAATCTGGGGACATAAAATGTTTGGGTTATTTCTTGCATTGCATTCTGGCTGGAAAGTTTTGCCCAGTTATGATTGCAAACATGGACGTGGAAATGACAACCACTTACAGGCCTAGATCGGAACTCTTTGGTCAAGAAGCCATGAACTTGCTTAAGATGATAGGACCAAGACCATTCGGACCTGAGCGAGTTGAAGAGTTGCCACCTATAGAGACTATCTGTCAGCACCCTTGGCTTACCCGATGATCTCCTTCTAAAATATATTTAACCTCATTGAATATGTGTTGTGTACGGAGTCATTAAAACCGAGGAGCTACTGTGAACGGTCTGAAACCTCATTGAGTTCGCTGTAGAATATATCGCGTGTTTAGATAAACCCTTGAGATTCGAGTCAGGATCAATGGAAATTTTAGACTTGCTACTACCAAACTAGCTTCATGGACATTCCCTCTACTCTCTACATTCTGTCCAAAGCGAGCAACCTACCCAGAACGTTGTTCCTAGATCTACTCAGGTCAAAGGGTTTGTACACCAGACTCCATCATCTTTTCTTTCGGTGATAATGTTAATCCACGCTATGAATAACCTTCCGTTTGATAATTTCCATCCTTCGCTTTAGCTTCATGAGATCTAAAACTATTTTGTTATCAAAACTTGCCACCAGTTGTACGTAGGCCCGGCAAAGGCTCTTCAGTATGCAACCAACAGTACCTCTTCGTCCTTATTTCGTGAGCTGGCCTGCTTTGTACTGCATCTGTAGATGAGGATCTTCTTACCTGTTATAAGATCTTGACGCATCCTGGACAGTCGCATTTTCTGTTTGTGATAGCAGAGTATTTCTGCAGTTCTGTATTTCTCCATGTTATTCGGGAAGTACAGCGGCGCTGTTTAGATGACAAACTTTTTGCTTTCGCCTTTCTCTGCTCTCCTTGTAAGACACACTAGTCTCCAGCGGCTGATTTTATGTGGGGGAAAGGAGCAATGCGGCTGGAAATATCTTGTCATTCATGATTGGATGTGAGGTCAACAGATGTGCTAATCGAGCTCGGTCGCGGTGTCGTGATCATCTGACTAGGCCGTGGAGAATCTCTGAAACCAAAACATTGACAAGGTCATACCATTCCTTATAATTGCTCGGTGTTAGTCAAGAGAATCCCAAGGCCTAGAAAGCCCAAATTCAGCTGTTTTTCCGAAATATTTGTAAAAGTTGAGCTCGTTGTGATATCAATGAACGTTATCAACTGGATTATTTATATTTAAAGTCTAATTTGGAAAAATATAGAATATCTGTTCATAAAAGTACTTTTTTTCTTATTTTCTTTTCCGATAGATTCCCTTAGTTCAGATTCAGAAGAGCTGATGTCAACCCAATCACTTGACTTTCATCCAAGTGGTCATACAGGTGAAGCTGTCCGAAGTCTTTCCTGTATAGGTCAAATAAGAGTACACGCTCATCATGTATCTAGGAAAGGTCGTCAAAGATTCATCATTCCAGATTAGTATCGAACTTCTGTCCGGTCGTCTTAATCCGGATGCAGCTCCCAGGTTTCTGTAGTGATAATTCAGTGAGCATCGTTTATCAAACATGGGATGTAGATTGTTCGCAATAATCCTTCAGAAATCAGTTTGCAGATCGAGAAAGAGGAAGCTCCAAATTTTTTAAGCTGATTGTCAAGAGCTTTTAGTTGATGAAGCGCTGCCGAGCACGTGATTTCCGGGATGGAGAGATAACGTTTGCAGCCGATATTGACGACCCTTTTGTGGATGAAGCCTTCGTTCTCCGCAAACCTGGAGAAAATGTGCCGTAATTTAAATTATGATCCAAGGAGATAACGAGCGATGACAACAGGATCATAGGGGAAATCTACCTCCATTATGTATTGAAGATGAAGACGTTTAGCTTGTCCTGTATATGAACGTCTTGGAAGGACACACTGATTTTGACAACCATGACAACAAATGGAGAGCACTTGATTCACGCGCTTATTGCACAAAACAGAAGTTGCAGGCGTGAATAATCCATGGATCATAAGCGATGAGTATCTAGTCAAAATGAGATCAGCTAGGTGATCAAGATGTAGATAGGACAGACGAATGTCAAGAATGTCGAAAAAGTCGATTAGAAATGCACGGAAGACTATCATCGATATTGTTCGTATTAATGAATGATTCTGGAGCCTACGGGTTCCATTTTACATTTGAAAAACATGCTGTTACAAGAAATTAGGTTCTTGTGGTTAATGTGCCAGAAACGTTAAATAAATATGTTCCAGAAAAAAGAAAAAAAATTGTCCTAAATATGTTCCAGTCGTTAGTGAACTGTAGAGGACGGATTTTTCAACCATTAAGTTGATGCGCTTTACTATGGTGTGGTGCAATCAGACTTTGACGCCGACTGTGAGATTTCTTTGCTGACCATGCTTTTCGTATTGAGATGTCTTAAAATCTGGTGAAATTATTTACGGACTAGATTTGGTTTCTAAAGGTTCAAACTAAATACAGCCTGAAGCTTGTTCAGGCTCAAACAAGCTTAAAAAATCTACCCAAAAATGCTACATTTTGGAAGGCGAAATTGCTTGCGCAAATAATTGCACTCAGAATGGCAGGGAATCTGCTGCACTGTGTTTGATCTAACTGCACCAAAGGAATTCATGACATTTTTGGAGCTAGAACCATATCCTGTAGAAATATTGGTCCGTTATGTATTTGGCTCTTTACATACTGAATGTCCGAATCTTACGAAAAGGATGCTGTGACATCGGTTCGGGAGACTGAGATTTGAAATCATTATAGTTGATGTGCGCATTGAGTGTCCAAGCTAAACCAACACCATTTTTATTTCAAAACTCGAATTGAAGATTTAGGGCCCTAAATAATTTTAATTACTGAGCTGTGCTAATTGATGTTGCTGGATAAGAGGTAGCTCAAATCATCATCGTCTATTGCATTTGTAAAGCGACAGTCGAATCAGATCATGTACTGATACATTCCTGATATCTGAGTTGAGTATCACGTAATGGTTTGTTCCAAATGTTCTTCAAAATGTTCAATTTTGTCAACAATGAACAGGATCCAGGTCTCCACATTATTTCGCAATTCGCCACGAAGCCGTGGCGGCATCGAAATACTCTTTTGCGACGACTTCCCATCCAATCGAAATGAACTGCTCTTCAATGTCCAAATGAAACGTTGGCAACGCTTCAAACTTACTAGACAGGAAAGCGTAATTTCGCTCGTTAGATCGAAAAAAAATGTAGCGATGAAAGGTTTTGCTGTGGAGATATAGAAGGTAGCCTGTCCATCGTACAAGGTGGGTCATGCATGTATTAGCTGGTTGGCTTTCGTAACTTGATCTGACCCTGCGTCAGAATTTCACTATGTCGGAAGAATACCTTTCTTATCCACAAGCTACTGATCGAACGAGTGGATGTGAGCGATAACTCTAAGCACAGATTATGGTGAAAAATGTCGTGGAGAAACTCAAGCTCAGGAAGAACTCCCGAGGTAGTCCAATCAAACTTTTGATAATATTTCTAATCGTTTGAGACTGCAAAGTTGATGAAATTCACTGAATTCTGATTGTACATGTGGTTATAACCCTGTAACATAGGCATCTGTGAATTGCTCGAAAGTCTGAAAGATCCTCGGAATAAGGATTTCGATTGTTGGCATATGGATAGGCTCTAATGTGCATCAGAGAAGGGGCACGTGACTCAATAAGTCGCCGTATTATAGATATCCCATTCACGTACGGTGCTGGTCTGCTCGACACAAATTGCATAGAAAATTGAGACTTCCCATAAAACTAGCTCCGTAGGTCAGATGATTTTACAGGATTTGATATCTCTAGAGGCCGAAATTCGAAGTGCTCATCACTCGAAAATCCTGAGTTCAAGGACCCAATTATAATAATCCAGGACTCTGTTGCATTTTTCATCAGCAATAAATTATCCTAGAGCTCAATCATGAACGTATCAGGCTCGTGAGAGAGCACGTGCGAGTCATACGGACTTGCAAGAATGACTGAATTCAGAAGCTCGCTGTAAGCCGAGTTCGAAACTCGTTTCAGCATGGCAACTGATGAACCTCATGATCTGCTAGCTTAAACTAGGATTTCACTGGTTATGGAGTCGAATCTGCCACCAGCTCGTCAGCAAATACTAGTCAGACTGGCTAGCTAATTAGTTAAAATGTGAAAGGTAGATGCTGACCCAAATCGGCTGAATTCTAATGGCTCAGGCCATTCGTGCGCACGTGTTTTGTGGAATGGCTCACGGCGTAAAATATCGTTATCATATAGCTTTTCCATAGTGTACTGTACTCTAAAGATAGTGTCAACCACCACAAGCAGTACTTGCGAGTCCATGCAGAGGATCGACGTTTGGCGGCTTTGATTGAAGCTGCCAAACTTCCTTGCCAACTGTAGGAGGAGGAAGCTGATTACGATCCTGATCTTGACCTCGAATCAGACACTGATTATGATTCTGACGAACGAGAAAACTCTCCCCCTAGAAGGAGACGACGACATGAAGATGAGGTAAAGCGAGATCACAGACAGCTCCTCTGAGACTTTGCTGCATTCCGTAGATTTTGGGGTTGCCACTCTTTTGACGATTAGATATCAGCGTGTAGGCATATAATACATGGCAAAGTCATTTATTTTCTAGTGTTACTGAGAACCTTCAAACCATACAGGCTCAGCCAATGCGCGAAGACCCACCACGAATTCAGGAAGACCGAGACGCTGAGCCGCCTCTGGATGTCAAACGTCTGGAGGCTGATGCTGAGATTGACAACCACTACAAGAAAGTGAAAGTCCTCGGAGCGGGCGCATACGCCGTGACCCACGAGGTTTTAGATGCAAAAAATCCGGGTGTCAGATACGCGATGAAAATTCAAGAAAAACCAGAAAGGGATTCCGCATCTGCTGAATCTGATGGAAAACAAAATCATCTGCGGATGTACAAGGAAGTCGTGATTCTGAATATAGTACTTCCCAGACACAAGAATATCATTTGCCTCAAAGACTTGCTTCTGAGCAAGAACAACGTCTACATAGTGCAAGAATTGTGTCAGGAACTAAACCTGGAAGATTTTTACCCCGTTGCGGATAATAGCAGTGGCCGTATGATTTTCAAGCAATTGGTTGAAGCAGTCCATTTCATGCATCAGTTCGGCGTGGTTCACGCCGATCTCAAAGCAGAGAACATTCTCTTCTCTAAGCCTGACTTCTCGGAATGCAAAATCATAGACTTCGGTTTAGCTGTGTACAAACCGGAGTGGGCCACGCGCCGTCGGAACAATTTCGACGTTAGCGAATGGTTTAGCGAGGAGGAACTTGTCACGGATGACGATTTATACGAGCAAGCAACACCTGCGACAGATATAGAATCCTTGGGCAGAATATTGTTCTCGATCATGGCTGGTACAGAAGTTCCAGTCTTATCAGAAGAGCTTATGAATCTCGACGATAATCCGTACGAGCCTAGATATGAAATTTTCGATGAGAGCGCAGCCGATTTGCTGGAAAACGTTATGTGCCCGATGGTCTTCCGCCCCGATGAGGCAGTGGAAGCTCCTGATTTGGGACAGGTTCTTCAGCATCCTTGGCTCGCAGGAGAAGAAATTCCAGCTCCCCCCGAAGAATTTCTTGCTCTTTCCCAAGAATCTGTACAAAGTTCGATGGACTTCGCCATCCTACAATCCAATCTAACCGCACTCGCAGACCTCTTCAAAGACTGGCTGAAAAGCCCTGCGACGGTCATGAGAGATATCGATGACCTCACCATGTATTACGAGGCGACGAGATCCATGCTTCGAGGCACCAAAGTCATGGAGTGCGTGGACGTTCGGGATGAAAGTAGAGTGTATGCGTTGAAAGTATTGGCAAGGGTAGGAGAGGATGCGAACATGACCGAAGAAGAGGTTATGAATCAGCCGTTTAGGATATACAATGAATTGTTGATCAGGTTGAGAATCCTTCCCAGACACGACCATCTCGTTAGCATAGTGGACGTACTCGTCCAAAAAGATTTTGTGGTTGTTGTGAGCGAGTTGTGTGAGGGCCCGACGTTGGAAGAGTTTTTCCCTCTCGCCCGAAATGGCACAGCTCGCCACATTTTCAAGCAGCTCGCAGAGACCGTCCGCTTCATGCATGAATTCGGCGTCGTGCACATGGACCTCCATTGCCATCACATCGTCGTCACGGACGAGCATTTCACTCACTGCAAGATCGTGCAGTTTAGTAAAGCTCTGTACGATTCAGAGTTGGCCACGAGAGGCTACATGTTCTTCGATCGCGAGGCCGGTCGATGGATAAACGGTGACCTCGAGTTTATGGCTCTCGATGCCAACGTCGAGGTAGACATCAGAGCCTTAGGCAGAATTCTACACTCCATGATGGCTGGAATCCATACAGAGGACACTTCTAATCTTCCCCCGCCTCGACTAGATCTTTTTGACCCGCATGCTGCAGATTTGCTCTCGAAAATAGGCCCCAGCCCTTTCGGACCGGACGAAAATCAGTGGAATCACATGACTCTGCTCCAGATCTGTCAGCATCCGTGGCTGCTGTTGACTTGAACTCTGATACAGAACGTACTTTTGAGACATTCTTCTTCTACGTGCTGACGTTGTGCTAGAGGTATAGCAGGCAGCAAGCATCAAAATTCAGCAAAATCGATAGTCTTTCAGACTGAATATTTGATTGAAGATCCAATGCCTTTGTCTGCAAATCTTGCAATCTAATCACTCTCTCAATCTTTGAGAGTATTATTACAGTCGTGGCCTTCACTAGTGCAGGTTAGTCAAAGTGCAGCCCATACAAAGGCTGCAAAACCTGGCCTCTGCAGAGTAGTTTGTAAGTCTGGAATGTTGAACACGCTTGGATGTAGTAGTTGAAGCATGATGAGTATATGGGGCACAGTACTAGGAAATCATCCATAGCAGTTGTGGTAGAGCATGGAGGTATGGTAATCCAAAGTGATACTTATAAGATCCATGTTTAGAGTGAAATTATTTCTTCCATTCAACAGTGCATTGAGTGGCAGCTGATGTCACTGCTTTACCGTAGCATCATACACCAACTAACAGATTAATAGAGCACCGGATATCCATTGCATTATGTGTAAATTATACAATCCTGGAAATGGACATCAATCAGAAAAGCATAAAACCTCAATTTATTGAGTCTTACGAACAGTGTCATAACCATCACTTTCCGAAGCTAAATTCTTTTTGTGTTCTTGTGTTGTCTCTAGAATTTTCAAAGCATCAAAATCACCTGTCCAAATATCGTCAATTGCATCACCAATGCACATCTCTCGGTTGAGGATACTATTAGAGGTGTATTTGGATAAAGAAATTTTGTGCTCATGATCCGGGGCGGAGCCAGGATTCTGGTGAGGGGGTTGAGTGGGCTCCCCGCCAGGTATTTCTGTAGGGTCAAATTTGTTCTCAACAGCGTTTTCACAATCTGTAGAACCTTCCTGGACTTGCTCCGCCCTGCTCATGATTCACAGATTGTCATAATGCACAATAACTTTACCACAGCTGCCACAAGAAGCAGCGGTGATGCAGCAGCGTCAATCACAACTTGTAGTCATTTATTTTTCATGTTTGCTTTAACTCATCTTGTTTGTTTCCAGTATTTTTTTTGGTGAAGAAGATGATGAAGATGTTAATATTTGTGAGTCGGTTGTTTTTTAGATAGGAATAGATTAGTAGATTTTTTAGTTTGTTTGCAAAGAATAGTTATTAGAATGATGTAGATTAGGACAACGAAATGTGAAGAATAGTGAATGATAAGTTAAGTTAATGCTAAGTGACAAGGATGCGCGAGACGCTACTGCCAATGATGCGGAGGTTTCCACACACAAAAGTGGTGAAAATTGTTCGGAAAAAGCAGCTGAAGACGAAGAGTTCTCCAACTTAAATGAGGTTAATAGTGCCAAGATTGAGGTAGCAGTAGATGATGAGACCATGGCTGAGCATCTTGATATTGCTGAGGAGAGCGTAGTGGAAGATAACGAGAAGAACTATGAGAGCACAGTCATTAAAATGGAAATCAATATACCATCAAAAGTAGAGACGCTAGCTAGAAAAGATTTGATTAACGACAATAAGAGCGGAATTTTCACCAGAAAAGAATCAATGCAAGCTTTCTTTTGATAGGAAGACCATGAATGTAGACGAGAAAAAGATGTGTGCAAGAAAAAAGTATTCTGCCCCCGTTTCCGAATTGACGGAGGAAGGTGAGAATTGTGATGGCAAAATCAAAGCCAGAGAAGTAGAGTAGGTTGTCCAGATCGAAGCTGAGGAGGTAGTCAAAGATATGATCAGCAATAGCAAAGCCAAACCCATGCAGGTTGAGAGGCAGTGTAAAAACACAACCAGGTACAATGAGGAAGATATGGCAAGTGAAAGCACGATAATAAAGAGAAGAATATGCTCAGCGATAGCAAAGTCAAACCCATGCAGTAGGCCTCCGCAAGGTGAGGTAACCTTTTAGTTTACTTGGTAAATCGGTGAAAGGTAGAGGTAAAAGGTAAAAGCTGGGCTACAGGTACGGTAACGGGTAGAGTAAAGGTAAAGTTGAATGAATTGCACTGTAATTATAGTATAATCCTTGACCATTGCAAAATTACATCATGGACTTCATGGCGCAGCTGCGTAGTCTGTGGCAGATTTCCAAGTTCCAACTCAAATCCAAATGGTAATTATTTTAGGGTTTTGGGTTTAGGCATTCTTTCTTCTTCCGCCTCCCTCTTTCGTTCCACCTTACTTCCTCTTCTTTCTACTCTGTGACCACTCTTTCGAGGTTGTCCTCGCTATGCTATTACTCGAATGTAGTAAATAGTGAAGTTTTAACACATTGTCGTTTGTGAGTCTACCTTAGATATCTGAAGTATCTTAGAAAATAAAGATGTGACTTCCCTTAACAGATCACACTCATTTTCAAAGCAAGTTTTGAATACTAATCCATCATGTTGTTTCTCATTTAATATCTAATCAGTGGTTCTGTGAGTGTACTTCAGATGCTTCTCGCCACGCTCCCAGCTTATCATGAACATGTGAGGTTTTATGAGAACACGCTGATTACAAAGTTCTTTGGACTTCATCGGGTTAAGCCTTATGGCGGTTAAAAGGTGTGCTATAAAACCTTTTCTTAATTCTTCTACATTTATTTATATATACATGTATAGATACATTTGTCATGCATATATGTATACACTCCTCATGATACACATAGAGAATGTGTACTAGGTAACTAGGTAAATTACCATTAGGTGAAGGTAAAACTAAAAAGTATTGGTGCGGGTAAGATAAAGTTAAAGGTCCATGCATTACCCGGTAACATTTGACCTTACCTTGCCTAGGCCTGCCATGCAGGTTGAGAGTAAATGCAAAAGCACAATCAAGTACAAGGAGGAAGATACGGCAAGTGAAAGCACAATAATAAAGAGAAAAATTTGATGGAGGAGAAGTATCATATCTTCTCGTATACTCTAACCAGTGCTAACTAGGAGAGGGTGGCTAAACATCATTTTGAAGAGGCAAGTTATCAAGTGTATCATGAATCAAGGAGAAAATAAGTGGCAGGTGACCACATGAGTGTGAATAAGAAAATATCGTATTAGAAAAGAAATCAGTGATGTTTAGAGAGGAGCAAGTAGTATCCAATTGTTAGTAAGTAAGATCATGGCTTTTGATGTGAGGTGGATTGGCTTTGTTTGTGGATGTCAAGACACTTTACTGCAGACTTACTAAAATCTGGCAAATGCCAAGTTCGCCAGAACTATGGTAATTTCGACAAATTTCTCTACTTAATTTTGGCAATTTTGGCACTAACACTAACTTCACTACTTTTACTCTTGGCGGTTTGCTACAACAGTTTTCTGCGTTTCAAATTGCTTCGCATGCATAATGCCTGCTAAAAAATACTTGTGAGCCTTGTGCGTGAGTCAACTTTCTCCCATTTGATAATGGAAAAATTGATTTCAACAGAGGCAGTATTTGGAAAAGCAATAGCTAGAACACCGCACAACTGTCGCAAATGCAAGAAACGTTGATTTAAACAATCCCATGCTTCATTGAAGAAAGTCTTCTCGCTGTGATTGTCAATGGTCTCCTTTACATTCAGCTCACGTCTGTAAACAAGTAGCAAGTCACAGTGTTCACTCTCCAGCTTGTCAATCATGTCAGTGCTCCAGTGCTTGCCTAGGTGTGCCCAGTATTGATCCACCACCTCGCTGATAAATAAAACACGACGCATCTTGACTAAATCCGCTGGCATCACAAGGGATGCTTCCAATTTCCCAACATGATTGTTAGAACCATGATCCGCCTTGATCTGCAAACCGTTTGCCATAATAGAGAGTGAAAAAGTATCTATCATCACCAATGCAAATCGTTTGCCATAATAGAGAGTGAAAAAGTACCTATCATCTCCAATGTCTGTTGCTGTTCAAATCCTGAAAGCTCATAATACAGATCCCTATCCCCAGAACCTTGATCTAATATATGCATGACAATAGAATTTTTGGTTACAAACAAATCATCTTGCTCAACGATTGTGATAGAATCAATTTTGTTTAGCGTTGCATCTGTAATGGAACGAATATCCAAACTATCTGCAATGTCGGTCATCAGCTTCGCTAACTCTTGGTATTGCTAAGAGATGATCAACTTTGGAGATTGGATTGAGGAGATAGTGGCGGCAATCCGCTCAAACAATGGCGATAGAGCTCCAGCAATGATTCACCATTGCATGGACGTGGCTTGAATAGATCGTCTGTTCTCCAAGTGAATCATCAACCGACAACGATGTTCTAGAAGCCAACATAGAATACTGTCAAACACCACCCATCGCGTTGTGTCCTTTGGGCATTTGGAACCCATTTCGTTAATGAGATTTTGTTGAGCTCAAAGATGCACAGAAAACGCATGGGCAACCTTATAAAACATCTCGTTCAACACACCATTTATGGCATTTTTCACCACAATATGAAGCTGATGAGCAACCCACCAATTACGAAGCACACAAGCTGTGAAACATTCCTTCTCAAGCAATGTGACAACTCCAGCATGCCTACCTGTTATTGTGTTTTCTCCATTTGAACTGATTGAAATGATCTAGTTGCGCCAAGATGGACACCACGTTGTCAAGCATTGTCTTGATGAGCTTGACATAGTTTTGAGCAGTATGGCGTTCAAAAAATGGAACGAGCACGAGGTGGAAGTTGTACAACACACCTTTCACGCACACACAAATTCATTGGTCAAGGACAAGAACTCCCAAATGTGTGCTTGCATCAGCCGCTAGAGAAAACGCCCAAATGTTTGGATCCATGAGTATATCGGAGATGATCTGCAAAGCGACAGCAAGGAGCACACGCACAAACTAACTCACCATATGATCATTGAGGCCGTTTAGTTTTGAATTCTTGGTCGCTACACGATGTTGTTCAATCACCTTGGTCGTCTGCCTAAATGACAATCCAACAAGATCGTGTTGCATGGCAAGGTTGAACCGCAAAGAGTTTTTGATCTTAACCAAGTATGATCCGACTGGCTGCAGTTTAAAGAACTTCATGGCGTTAGCCTTGGTGATTGCTTGGAACGCATCGTCTTCTTCGTTTTCTTCCGGATGAAATAACAAATCTCTCACCACAACATCAACTATCAGAGACTGAGAAATTACAAACTGAAGTGTCTTTGTCTGTGTCTAGGTAACAGTGTATGCATGATATATCTCTTGTCTTGAAGAAACTAACCTTTTCTTGATACGAAAGCAATCAGTAACTAGTCCAATACTCAGGATGTTGAGACTCCAAGTGATTTTTCTAGGCTTCAAGACGAAACGGAAACTGGAACAGTTGCGTGTTCTTGGTTCGTAATCGCTTCACACCTTCAGTGTCCCGTTTTTCACTACCGATATGGACGCAAAATAAACATTGAACTGTTGTGATGGTGCCTTGTACAGATCGTTGCACCGGTTGCAAACCAAATTCGACACCATGTTTGACTTGGAACGGAGTTTTTTGACTCATGATGGATTGCAAAAGCTTCGCTGTGACTTCAGTGCTTGTGTTCGAGACAAGAAAACATCGGGAGAATGCATTCCTAACCTAAGATACTCCTTCCCGCTATCCACTCCCCGCCTCCCCTTGGATGCTTGCGAGATTCTCTAAGGCATGAGGTGTCTGCCTGCACCTCTTGACTTATCCTTGTATTCTTGCGCGAAACTTCATCCAGGTGTCGACTAAGTGGGCTTGATTAATTCTGGCAAATCTGGCTTCTAAAAATTAAACGCCAGATTTTAGTAACCCTACTATACTGTCTATGAAGCTAACAATTTGAACCGTAAAAAAATCAAATTTCTACTAGAACTTTCCACTTTGAAAGGTGAAAACGTTCAGAAAAATCTTTTCTCATTCCATGATCAAATAAATCATGCGGAAATAGTCCAACATTCACTATTCATGTTATTTTATCTTAGACTTTTCTTAACATGCAACCGTAAAATGTAGACTAGAAAATTGTGAGATTAAATTGGTGTTTGAAAGCTTGTAGAGGCACTACTAGGTAGGAGAACCACAGTTATCCAAAAGATATCCATTTGGTACATTCATTGTATACTAAACATTCATTTATCTATTTGAAGCTTTTCTTGCATGTGTTTCTGGAAGTTTGATTGATTTGTTGGAGGTGAAGTGCCCTAGAGACATCTTAGTGATAGCAAGAAGTTATCCCAGTTGGATTTGAATGAGTGGATAGAACATTGACGGCATTTCAAAGCTAGATTTGACTTACAACGACGGAGTCAGAACTATCAACTGCAAGTTACAATAGAAAGAAATGATATAGCATAGAAAACCTTTTTTGATCTCAAGAGTCAACTTTCTAGTAGAACCGGCTGGATGAAAAAATGGTAGACATTAATTTATGTGTGATTGATGGTAACTTTTAAGACAGTACTTGACAATTCTTGATCAAATCAAATTATACTCATTCTCTCTTATTACATTCTCAATTTGAAGATCTAGTGAAGAAAACTAACAGTTAAAAGTCTAACTAACATATTCTAATATTTCATATCAACAATCAAAAGCACTTTTAAGCGTTAGATCAAAGACATATATTTAGCTTTATCTAATGTATATAAATGTTGTTCACCACTTGTTAGCACTATTTATATAACTAAGAATTATCATTGCATCAAATAATAAAATTTGCATAAATTTCTAGATCTTTTTAAAAACTTCTGCAAGCTTCTTTGCTTTTCATCCTCTACAAATTATGTTTCAATATTTTTCAATTAATATTGAAAAAATTTGTACTTGTAGAAATTTAGAAATTCTAACAAATAACGATACGAATTCAGCTCCATCAAAAATTTTATTTCAAAATTTTTGATTATAGCGCAGTCTCTATTCTATCTATTTATGGATTATTTACTTTTCAAAAAATACAAATCATGAACATTCCTAACCCAAATAGAGGTTTGAAAAAATATTAAAGTGAAGAAAAACTAAATTTAAAGGAAATTTAACATGCATGTGATTGTTCTATACAATCAAAATTTTAATGAATTCTATTTCTTTGAACTATATATATTATCTTATATAATTTAAATACTTTAAGTACTTAGAATATCTACAGATATGATTATTACTGTTTTGATTATAGTCGGCACTATTTAGTCGTAAAAGTTACACTTTATAGTTAAGTTATATGGTCACTCTCATGCAGATTGATTACCAGCCATTTGGATATTATGCAGCTGATGCTTTGTCCTTGACTTTCACAAGCACTTCCAATATGATGGCGGTTTTGATGTGTTTTGATTCACTCTTGGCCTTCTCCAGCGCATTCCATTTTTCTTTAACTTTGCTTTCTATATCATCTCTAATTTATTTTAACAGTACTAAAACTTGTGCATGGCTTTATAATTTACACACATGTTCTCTACATTGATAGCAACACATTACCCAGAATATGGCGCCAAAATAAGCAGATCACTTCTGTGCTGAATCAGAGACGTTTTGGATAGAAATTATGTATTACGGGCATGCTACCTCAATCGATAATGACGTAGCTTGTCTCTGATTTAAACTCACGGATACCATGTGCTTGCTGCTCACCAGAGTCTTCTTACTTTAGATGGCAAGATCATGCGATGGAGTGACCAATTATACGGGATGAAAAAATGTTTCGTGTCAATCAAACGTTTACGCATGTAAAGGCTGACAATGCTACGTAAGAGTATAAAGAATCGTGAAGAAGGTATAATAATCACACTGTCATCATTCACATATATTAGATTAGTGAATAAACTAATTTCCTGCAACATGTAGAATGCTGGAACTCATATCGATTTAGTAAAAATTAGTATATCGATTTATAGGCCCTCTAATCAGTGGCGGAGCCAAGGGGGGCAGGGGGGCCATGCCCCCCAAGCCCAGGAAGGGTCTACACAGATTGTGAGTTACAGAACGTGAAAACGAGGTCGAGAAAAAATTTTCTTGGAAATTGGCCGGTAGGCCCCCCTCGTCACTGAGGGCTCCACACTTTGGGGGGAACGCGAGGGAGCTGATCCCTGCCCCTGGGTCTGTGCAAGCCTCCGCTCGCCCAGACGGCAGGGATCAGCTCCCTCCCCCTGGGTCTGGGCGAGCGGAGGCTTGCACGCCTGGCTCAGGTCTTCCCTCGCCGCATGTTTGCGGAAAAATGCCTGAATCACGAAAGCAAAAGCTTTCGTGGTGTAAAGCGGCCGTCAGCTATCCTTACGGAGGGATGGCTAAGAGGTGGACGAGACGGGCATCGAGAGATTCGGGAGGAGCGCTAACAGAAATGCGGGCTACAAATAGAGTTTGGGAATGAGCGAAGGAGGGGCGGTGCAGTATTGCGATTGGACCTGTGAGTCCGGACTGTGGAGCAGCGGCAGGGCTCAGAGATGCCAAGGAGTGCAGCGGGAGTCGTTACATGATAGAAGTGAGCTGTGTTTCTGAACGGCGAAGGAGGATGAAGCGGTCGAGGGAGGAAGGGTCTTCGGCCCCGCAGGTGAAGCGCATGGCAGGGTACAGAGGAGAAACGGCGACATCTGATGCATCACTGCCAACATCGAACAACAACACCCCTCAACCGCGCCTGACGACGGACGATGCTCTTGCATATCTGAAGGCGGTGAAAGATATGTTCAAGGATGACAAAGATAAGTACGACGAATTTCTGGAGGTGATGATTCATCCGTTGAAAAGCGTGTCTTGATCTTGTTGACATAGTTGATGGCCTGATCAAAGGCCGAAGCCCCTTCCTCCCTCGACCGCTTCATCCTCCTTCGCCCTTCAGAAACACAGCTCACTTCTATCATGTAAAATCCTGGCTCCGCCCCTGCCTCTAATGACGTTCTACTCTTGCAAAGTTTCTTTCCGTTGTAAAGGAATTTGCTGTTCACACATGCAAAGGAGACTCATGTTATCTGTGAAAAATCGCTTTCAGGAATAAATGGCACGACAAAATCAGCAATTGCTTGTTGATATTTTCCATGACACTGATTTGCTGAAAAGAACGTGATAGATGTACTGGTTGACGTGACCTGCGTTACGTGAGCCGCGACCACTGAAACTGATTGGAACCGATTGCTCTACTGAAATGTGATCTGATGAGAAACAGCCGCCGTTACACATCCAATCGCTGATGAAGACACCGGCGTTCGATATGACATGTATGTGCGATGAGCACACAAGCGCTCGGCAAACCGTCACTGCCAGGATCGATCTTCTGTCGCCTGGGAATAAAAAGACGACGACAAAGCATGACACAGTACAGTAGTGATTCATCCTGAGTCAGAATAGCAGAAAGCGCGGGCCAATTCATCCATATGAAATTCCTAAAGGACGACCAGGAAATTAGTGCCCATTACAAAGAAGTACCCATTTCTAAGATAGTACGATGTACACTTCGAGATCCATACGAGATACACTTCGAGATCAGTGATGCAAGGAATCCGCAGCAAAAATTCGCGATGAAAGTTCAAAGCTTCAATCCAGGACCGAACCACCCGTGGATCCTTCTGAGGAAGTGACAACAAGGCTGGAAATGGAAATTGTTATTGTCCACCGAATACTTCCGCCCCACAGAAACATCGCTCAGATCAAGGACGTGCTGAAAAGCAAAACGATGGTCTTCGTTGCGCAGGAGTTATGCGGAGGAAAATCCCTCTTTAACTTTTACGAAGACGCCGACGACAGAAGTGCGCGCAGGGTCTTCAAACAATTAGTCGACGTGACTCACTTCATACATCAATATGGCGTTGTACACATCGACTTCGAGGAAGGCACTTCGTTTTGCTGACTCTAGCTACATGGACGTCAAGCTCATAAACTTTGGTGGCAGGTCTCATTATATATAACCCTTCGATCGCTACACGAGTACGTGATAATTTCAATCCAGCTCACTGGTTCACAGAAGGAGAATTAGACAAACTTTGCAATGTGGGCAGCACACCAGAAGAAGATATAGCATACCTGGGGCGAATCCTGCTCAACATTCTCGCCGGAAGAGACCTCGGCCATATAGCATTCGATACAGACATTCGATACAAATACATACTAGACGAAGCCAGCGAGCCCCTGGACTACCAAGAAGAAATCGACATGCTCATAGAAGAAGAAAGGACGAAAGAAGATGTATTTGAATTGATGCGAAAAACTGAATTTGCTCTCCGTAATAGGACCGACCTGTTTCCGCAATCATGCCCCACTTCCCCAATCCCTGGACCAGATCCTTCTCCATCCTTGGCTTGCTGAACCAAACTAACTGACCAGCTCTGTCTTCCAGCATTCGAGATTCGCCATGAGCGTTGTCGTCGGGCAAATACTTTCTTACATATTTTCACAAAGTCTTATAAGAGGGTTAAAAGTTTGAAGGCAGTTAGTACTTTCCAAAAAGATTAACAGGAATTGTAGCACCGAAGCAGGTTCCATAGTGTTCGAAGATTTGAATGCGAACTTTAGAAAAATTGAGAAATCTGCAAGGGAGAAATCCATGGATTGTACGCAACGAAATTACCGTGATGCTGTAAGCCGTCCACCTACGGGCAATTAGGCCCGGAGGTCTAACTTCATCTTCTTAGGTAAATCAAAAAGTCAACAGCGATATGCAAAGTAAACACCGTAGCCTATAATTTCTTAAAGTCTACACTGTAACAATTTGCGTCGGTTTGAAACTCATCAATGATAAGAGTAAATACTTAAAAGCAGTTGCAGTCTAAATTTTCATACCGAGCGAATTCAAATAAATGATGAGATTCGTCAGTGCGTGTGTGCTGGATACAGATCAAGCTCTAAATGCTGCCTTTGTACTGGGCTTATTATAGGCTTTTCAGATTTATGTTTTGCCTAATATCAAATGGAATTCCTAATCCTCAAACTTTTAAGTTGCATTGTGACAAGTCTTATAATGTAAAGCAGAATAAGCGATGTTCATAAAGATGATGGAAGCATGGGTGGATCCAAGACCATTTACAAGTCAAGATGATTCTTACATGACTCTACACAAGTCAAGTTAGTTGAAGTGCTCAAGAAATATTCTAATTTATCAAGGTATTGAGATTCTCTGAATTATTAGGCTTTATGTCATCAAGCATTAATCGATAATCAAACCACATGAATTATCAATACTGTCATGGTATATCATGTTAGTCATTCATATGGAGAAACAACCAAATCTTGGAGAACTAAGTAAAGGTTATGAACTTATCGACAAGTATCAATACTATGGATGACTCTAGTGATGAGAGATTTGCTTGATGGGACCCTGCGGAAAGTAATTTGCTTGATGGACACTTCAGGTTTTGTTTTACCATATGGTACGCCATGAACGATGCACCGTCGCCCATGTTCTAATAACGACTTGAGTTTTAAGGAGAATGCAAAGAGTCAACCACGCCCGCCGATAGAGTGGACTTCGCACTAAAGTACACTCCCTTGTTTTTATTTTTTCATTCTGTATCCGGCCACTCCCCCAAGTAACGAGCAAAGAAATGCTCATCCGGAGTTTATTTGTTCGTCACAAATGGGGGACAGCTAGACTTGAGCTCGGACCACTTCCCGGTATGAGCTCCTCGTCGCATACGCAGGATTACGGAAGAAGGGTGCCAGCAGGTGCAGAGAAATCCGCGAATCGGTGCTATCGGGAGAATTGAAGCAAAATTGATATTTGTCCCCGTGATAATCCACCAGAAATTTTAATCAGGGATTGATCTCTGATTGTAATCCCCCGCATTGTAACTATCAATCATAGTTACAAGAACTATCGCCGACAGCACACAATCGTGGGGTACCATCGAGTAAAATGAAATCTGAGGGGTCCCGTCAAGCAAATTACTTTCCGCATGGGTCCCATCAATCAAATCTCTCATCTAGTGATATCAAAATCCAAACCTACGGGAACAATTTATTGAAATTGAAATAAGGTTTTGCAAGTGCATATAACCATTTTTGAATTATTGCTTCTCATAAATGTCATAGTATTTTATAAAGTGGTTTTTATGACATGTGAATATATGACTATTAGTCATCACACAGATGTATTATGATACTCTTTGTGATGATGTTAAATTGACTTGCAAATTGTGGAAGAATGATGATTAGAGTAAAAATATAAACTTTGATGTTTTTCTAAATATCATATTTCACAAATAATAAAGGGTTTAGTCACTTTAAGTTTGATTGTTTTGATTTCGAATGATTATGAAGGTAATTATGAATTATGTCAAATTGTTTTCTATTGCGAACTATTTCTAAGATGAATCAACAAAAACAGAGTTAATAAAATAGTTATACATTAAAAATCCGTTAAATATTATTCAACTGAGTCAGTTCTTCAACGAAAAAGATAATAAGTAAGACAGAAAAAAATATTGAACACATTTTTAATTAATGAGATTTAAAATTTTCTATCAAAGCTGACTTTCAAATATTAAATACATGTATTTGGGAATGGAATAAATATTTACATTTACTATTTAATTAAATTTTTCAAAAAATTGAATTAAATATGTGATAAATTAATTAAATTTTTTTCGAAAAATTCCACTTCAAAAAATAATCGCCAAAATTTGTCAAAATATTGTGTAATTCACAATATCTGAAAAAAAATTTGTGGAAAAAAACAGTTCCATTATTTTTTTCCATTGGTTAATCTTTTATTTGAGGCTCATTATATTTTATGACATATTTTCTGAATATTTCAACAACATTTTTGTAGTAAAAAAAAAGTTGATTCACAAATGTAGAAATTGGATGTTGAAAGGTAATAGATCATAATTTTGAAGCTTTTAAATAATCTTTGAAAATTAAATTAACATTCAATTATTTACACTGTTAATTATCACATAATTTTTCTTTATTGAATCAAAAATTTGATATCGGAATAAGGAATCAAAAGAAATAATCTCCATCGCTCATAATGGAAGGGACTTTATCATGAGGTCGCAGAAATAATGAGAAGCTGTAAAGTGTGTACTATACGGAGCAAGGGACTTTTTGCATATCTCATCATTAACCTCTTAACACTTCTGGATTCTGCTCAACTCTTCTTTCGCCAAAAGGACAGAGTACCTGTTGATTGGGAAGAGCACACGCGAAGGGACATAATGACCTCATTTTGGACTTCAGGATATGACCAGTCTTGACGGTTGGCTTTGGTGAACGAGGGAATATCACCTCATGCCCCCGGGTCGAAGCACACTGTGCAAACGCCGTACACCCATCTGTGACACAGAAAACGCTATATTTTGTACAGATCCTTATTGGTACATTTCGCAGTTGTTTAATTCTACACATTCACAGGATTCAGCGGGAAATCTGTTCTTAGAGCGTACAAGCGTTAAGTCCAGATTCGAGCTAATCTTCGAGGATTCTAATCTGGTTTGTACATACTCCTTTCTGATATGTATCCAAAATAAGAGAACACCAGTATATATTAAATTACATTACCATGAATCAGTGTAGTCGATCTCAGTTTTAAACCTGAGGCAATTACAGAAAGATAATTTCTCGATCCATATCTTGTCCAATGAGAAGCTACGAAGTCCAGGTTTTTTCAGCTGAAAGGTTGGCAACGCTTCACGTTTTTAACCTAAGATGTGGGTACGATACAACTACTTTCTAGAATCTCATCGCGTTACCAGTCGACGATTTGTGGCATGAATGTGTACGTCGATGACTGTTTTACGCCATGGCGTAGATGTCTGGAGTACCTTGGGCAGTTTGAGTTTTCGAAGGATGCGTTGAACTCGTGGTAATTAGCGGCGATTCATTTCTCATCGACAAGGTCTCCACTGGGTGGAGGTGAAGAATATCGACAACATAAGCTGTAAAAGCACAGTAAAAACACACAATGGCGAAACCGAATCCCGGTGCTTCACAGGTATCTCACGACTAAATTTTGTTAAATAACTAAACGTAAGGTTAAAAACATGTAGTTTAGTCAAGAATCTATCCTTCTAAAGCTCATTTAATTAGCCTGATCTTCACAATTATGGATCCCAAAATTCAACATGCATACCAAAGACTTATCGACAGGCGGCGGCCAAATTCATCAATAGTAGCCAAGTTAAAGTAACAGTGAAGCTTTAATGAACGTGAAAAATCCGACCTTTGATGCCTGAATATCGTCGCAATTGACAAGAAAGAAAACATGCAGAAATAGAGATCAGGCAAGCAAAGGAGAAGTTTTGGCCCATTCCAAAGTTATGGATTTCGTAGCTGCAAATCCTCAGCAACCAGCGAATAATTTCCATGTTTTTCAGATATCTCTCGGACTCAATCTATTAGTCTAGAATAGGCATATGTTGGCTTCGATTCATAAATAATGAAAACAGATAGAGCGAATAGACGGGCTTTAGCGCTTGTAAGAGCACTAGGCTCCAGGCCGAGTAATTATTATATAGGAGGGTAAATATTTTCGTTCATGAGAAAACAGTCTGCATGTCAGTGATCAGACAGCTATTATCTTCTCAAGTGAATCGGTCTCTGGACCCAAATTCTCAACTAGCGGGGAAAACGTGAACTTCCTAATGGCTATGTTGATGCAGGGCATCAATAAGGAGGAACCGTTTCTCAAGGCGAAAATTCTCAAAGACGATAAAGATATACGCCTGCACTACAGAAAGCAACAAAAACTCGGCGAAGGGTCGTATGGTGGGACATTTGCAGTTGTAGACAGACGTAATCCTGTTGTCAGACTTGCAATGAAAGTCCAGACGAAGAGCTGCTGGGGGTCTCCAGAGGAAGAAGCGTTGAGATTGTTTAGAGAGCTTTTGATTCTCAACAGAATATTGCCCAAACACCCGAATATAGCACAAATGAAAGATATGCTAATCGGCCCACACAATGTTTACATCCTTCAAGAGCTGTGTTCACAAGAAACCCTTGAACACTTCTACCCTGTAGCGAATGGTGTAAGCGGGTGCAGAATTTTCAAGCAATTGATTGATGCATTCAATGTCATGCACCAACACGGAGTGGTGCATTGGGACGTGAGAGAATCTAACATTCTATTTGCCCACTCTGACTTCATGCAGTGCAAGATTATAGACTTCGGTCAATCTGCTTATAGGCCAGAATGGGCCACAAAAGTTAATGATAATTTTGATCCACGTAATTGGTTCACAAGTGAAGAACTAGCTCCACCGCCAGATCCAAATGCACCACATGTGCCAAAGAAAGTAGATGATGTTAGAAAACTGGGAAGAATACTGCATTGCATTATGGCTGGCAAGTATGTTCCACATACTTTACTGGGATCGGACGCCGCCATTCAAATGAAAACCATCTACAGGCCTAGAGTTGAAGTTTTTGGTGCTCAAGCAGTAAGTTTACTTCGAATGATAGGTCCACCTCCATTCGGACCTGCGCGTGATGAGGACCTTCCTACCATCGACAAAATCCATCAACATATGTGGCTTGTCTGATTTGCATAGCTCACATCATCAGATCTATGAGCAAAGAATTTCTACCAGTTTCAGTTTCTGAGGTATAATCCAAACATGAAATGGCGACATTTAATTCGTGACGATCGTGAAGTCGCAATGTGCTATCATCCAAAAGGTGCGTAATATCTTCAAGCAAGGAGCTAGAATGCTAGACCATCTCAGTGTGTAGTTACTTTAGTATAATCGTCAGTAGTCATGCAGCGAATACATTGTGCCACAAAGCTTCTAGGATGCCAGTCCGCTGCGGTACCCGCAGTGAACACTGCGAGGGTACTTAGTCTCCAGAATTTATGAATTTTATTGAGTAGATTCAAAATTCTCAGAAACGAACACATCGCTGACATGGTAGTTATGCTTGTCCCATACAGAACTTGTCAAATATAATCAGAGCTACGTGAGAGTACACTCTTAGACAGATCGTCCCATCTGCCAGTAGTAAGTGTCTCGAGGAGATTACAAACAAGAAGCAGAAGGGCAGCTGGCTCATATATCAGCTGCAATATGAACCCACGGTCCATCGAAATGCGTTAGGGACTACACGCCTTACTCTGCTTGCGTTGACAGCGGAAGCCATTGGGAGCAGTATCCAAACCATTCAAGTTTAGTGTTGCACACTGATATGAAATTAAGAGACATTTTTCACATTTATAACAATTGCATAGCGTTCGAAGGGTCGAACAGTACTGCAATCGGCAGGAGACAATGTTTGTACAGCATTGAGCTAAAAGAATTCTTGATACGGTTGAAAGCTGCTACTATTGCTTTCTTTATGATTAATGAATTCTGCGAGGTAAGAGTAAAGACGTGGTGTCGACTAGCACCCTTTATTCAGGGAAGAATGCCCAGCGTAAACACAACTCCCGTAAAAATTTCTAGACCTAGAACAGAATGAAGTCAATAATACTCTCTGAAATAGAGGAGTCTTAGACATGAAATGAGAGAACATATAGATTTCAGTTGTATATGCGATACTGCGTTCTCTCACACTCGGGAACACTAAGTTTTGCTTAAAAGCCTAATCTTTGGCTATCTTTGAATAGGCACAATATCCATAATAATGAAATCAACCGATCAAAACTAGAGCTAAGTTCTACGACCGCTGACCTTCATTACACAAGCATTCCGACTTCCTCCATATTTTCTCGGCTAGCTAAATATATCTTCTTCTTCTTCTTCTTCTCTCTCTCTCTCTCTCTCTCTCTTTAGAGAGAATAATCTGAACTCTTTGGCTTGTGAGGGATACTTACCTTCTATATTTCTCTGTCTGATGCCGTCTCAGTTTTTCATGGGCTGTAGGTCTCATCATGATTGAGTGGTTGAAAGTTCATTTGCAGGCACATCAACTGTAGAAAATAATCACTGTGAAGCTTTCCTACCGATAGCTGGAGATCTTAAATATTCATCCACGGACATCTTGGGAGAAAAATGTCTCTTCGACGACGGATTTGGAAGTCGTAGGCTTGTGTTGCAAGCCGTCTTTAGATATCACTGCCTTGAATTCTCAAAGAATTGGACTGTCAGTTGCAACGACCTAACCAACCACGACTGGTCCTGACATGTTATGAGAATCGAATGAAAAATGTAGTAATAAATGAACAAACTATTATTCTATCTATATCATCAAACGATTGAATTTCTGTATAAAACCTTCTCTGCTCTGCATATTTCATATGCATGTGTCCTACAACTCCCACAAAAGTTACACCTTGAGCAGAATGCTGTTGGGCTAAGCACCACTGTCGGATTCAACATGTCGTATGTAGCTTTCGACTGACTTCCGAGAACACAACTAGTGATCTTTCTGTTGTGTTCTTAGTTGTCCTGTTCAATAATTGTGAGCTGTGCAATCAAAGAACCACAACACGAAGAGTTTGCTCCTACATTTTTACACGGTACTTGTGCCGGCCTGACAATCCACATACATGCACCATATTTTCCGACTTAGTGAGTCGAGAAAGGTTCTTTTGCGAAAAACTTAAGACAGGAAAGTTTCAAGTGCAAGGTTTGAGTTCTGGAACGTACCTGACTGGTTCTTACGCAACTTTGAGAAGTTTTTGCCGTTGGTTTCGTGTCTGGATCGTCTACACCTAAAAAAAAAGCCACGGATGGAGACATATTTCGTCAATTGATGGTAGTCTGTCATCTTCAAGTGGTCCAAAGGGACTTGGGCCTATTTTTGAAAGCAAATTTGTGGCATTCTCGTCAAATACTCCTAGTCTAGGCAGAAGCGTTGGGTCCAGATTGTCCGGATCCGGTTGCCAGATGCCAACCATCATTGCGAGCAGAATCGAGCCAAGGGCTCTGATGTCTACTTCAACCTTGATATCGCGGGCCATGATTTGAAGCTCAGGGGTTATCCAGTCCTCAGCTTTGAAGTTTTCATGAGCACATTGAGCCAGTTCCGAGTCGTACAGAGCATTACTAAAACCCACAATCTTGCAAGTAGTGAAGTGACTGTCCGTGAAAACTATCTGATGGCAATGCAAGTCCATGTGCACCACACCAAAGAGATGCATGAGGCGAACTGCTTCTGCAATTTGCCTGAAGATATTGCGCGAATTCTCATTTCTGGCAAGAGGAAAGAAGTCTTCTAGCGTGTCCCTTTCACACAGCTCTCTAATGACAAGCACAAAATCTTTGTGGACGATCACATCCCGTATTTCAGCGATGTTTGGGTGCCTGGGGAGTATTCTCAGTGTTATCAACAATTCATTGTATATCCTCAATGCTTCGCTGACAGCATCATTTGGAGACATCGACTCTGGTTGACCATTCCTAGATAATACTATCATTGCATGCTTGGTATTAGAGGTCGTTTCAATGTCTGCATTCACACACTCAAAGATTTCAGTGTTCCCATCGCCTCTCTGAAAGGAATCTAGTACTCGGTAATGGATGCCGACATCCTCGTCATTTCTTATGATCCGAAAATAGACGACCTGCCAGTCTCTGAACAGAATCTTAAGCCCAGTGAGGTCAGTTTCTAGCAGAGGAATCTCCCGAGCCAGTTCTGAATCTCTGGTAGCAAGAGTTTGGGTTTCTTCTACGAGCCAAGGATGCTGAAGGATTTCTTCCAGACTCTGGTAGTTCGCATATTCATCGAGATGGAAATAAGTGGGACCAATAATTCCAAGTAGATTCAGTGCACTTTCATCAAAGATGTCCATTCTTGGCTTGTACTTGTTATCACTATTACTCATAAAGCTTTGAAATATGCTTGGCACATCGGTGCCAGCCAGAATTGAGTGCAGTATTCTGCCCAAGGCTTCTATATCTTCTGTATGGGATGCATGTAAGTCTCTTGGAGTGCGAAGTTCGGCTTCGCTCAACCATTTGCCCCGCTCGAAATTCTTGTTAGTCTTCTTAGCCCATTCTGGTCTATAAACGGAGAGGCCAAAGTCTATAATCTTGCATTCCATGAAGTTGCGGTCAGCGAAAAGCACGTTGTCTGATTTCAAATCCCCGTGCACCACTCCATATTCATGGATAAAATTTAGTGCACCAACCAGCTGTTTAAATATTCTGCGCCCGCTTGCATTATCAGCGACAGGGTAGAAATCGTCGAGTGTTAAACTTGCACATAATTCTTGCACAATGTAAACGTTGTCCGGACTAATTAGGACGTCCTTGACTTCAATAATATTTTTGTGTTTGGGAATTATTCTGCTCATAATTACTAATTCTTTGTATATCCTCAATAATTCTTCGTCTGGATTTGCAGCTGCCAAAAAGCCCGGGGGTTTTTTACTTTGACATTTCATGGCTAATCTAATCTGCGGATTTCTAGCGTCTTCGACCTCGTAGATCGCACCAAATGTGCCCGAACCGATGAAATCTAGCTGTCGGTAGTTGTCGTGGATGTCGAGGTCTTCGTTGAGGATCTTTATTCGGAAAAAGGCCTCAGCGCCTTCCTCTTCCACGGGCTCCGGAGAAGGCAGGCGATGAAGGAGAAATGGAGCTGCATTCGCTCTAGGGCTTGAAGCTGAGGGCTCATCGGTACTACGTACTTCTGATGGTGATGCTTCTTCGGCCTGGATCCAGCACAATGTGTGGAGATTGGAACAGAGAGCAGGACGAAGGTAGGACCATCAACTCAATGCAAAACTTACGAGATTTCAGATGGCATGCCATACAGTTCACAAAGTTCACATTTTAAACCGAACGATACAGCTGCTCTCTGCAAGTGGAATTCTTTATTCAGAGCCTCCATAATGTGTAGTGAAATTTCTTGTCTTGTCATCTGTACAGAAGAATGGTTTCACATGGACAACGGTCCACATGTTGCAGACATTGTGTTGGCCCTCTAAAGGGAATGACAAGACAGATCCGTCTCAAAAATCCCTTGTGATCAAAATTTAGCTTGTGGAAAAATGATACAGACGCAGCCACCAGCAGCTAGTTCGTGAAATTCGAAATGTACAAGCTTACTGCAATACTCGAGGCGTTCTTATCAATGACAAGTAATTGCTTGAATTGATGTGAGAATTGTAAGAATATGCGTCATGTCTGTTTTGGGACACAGAATCTTAACTGTTACTAGTTACTGCTCGAGAATCCAGTAAATTGAGCTCATGAACCTAAAGTTTCTCACCTCATGTTTCCTACGTTTACTCGTCGATGGGAAACGCGATTCTTCCGTGTAAAAAAAGGTCTGGAGTGCTGGCACCACCTCTATCTCTTGCAAGGCAGGCGTAATTGGATCATCAGAATCCTGAATTTCACCAAGAGAATTGGTTGTCACAATGTGCCAGTCAAATCGTAAACAAAGTGTTCCGCAGTGGAACACGAGGCACTGCTCACTGTAAACCACTCGGAGATGAGCCGTTTAACATTGTCATAACTTTGCCATTAAAATCCGATCGACCCTCTAGAGCTAAATATATGACATGTACATGCAACAAAACCGACAGCTCGCTCTAGTGGCTCAATGTCTCTGTTGTCCATAATTATATTATATGTAAAACCACAGTAGACAAAATGACCCCTGTTCTTGTTGATATTTTTCAACTCCTGTCGATGACGAGTGATTGGAATCAGTTATGCATGGCCTATCACACGCAAGTTGCATATTTTTTTGGCCAAAATATGTACGAAATCCTAGATTTGGGCATCGAGGCCGCAGTGCTTTCACACCTCAAAAGGAGAGGTCAAGAGCTGGCGTGCGCGGACACCAAATGAGATGTTTCTAAAGAACACAATTTCTATAGAATATGTTCCGACTGCTGTCACATATCTTCTGTTGGCTGTCAAATACGTAGAGAGTTAATCGACTTACCTCTGGATCTGATAAATCCGCCATTTCTTTGTCCAAGTTTGTGTGAAAAGACATTATCTAACGCCGTGCAATTGGCATCTTCTCGGCAAAAAGACCTCTCATTTCAAAATGAGAAGTCGCTTCTGCTGAAGATTTAGTACAGATATAGCCCAAAATGTACTCACCATGAACTGGCATCCCCTAAACTCCAAAACAACGGTGAAAAAGAGACTTTTCCCAACGTAGATTTCTCGACGATTGCAGGCGATTCGTTGGACTTGTTCGCAGAGAGGGAAACCAGAGAAAGGCCGTGATTAAGTGTCGGGGGAGCGTGAGGCCGAAGGTTCATGTGCAAACCTTCTGCATTTGCGCAGCGTACGAGAGTGGGGCGGAACTGCACAGAAAGCTGGCGGAGATCTCAGACTCTGACACGAATTCTGATAAATGGCGTTGTCTCTTGATCCTGTATTTCTCACATCTGCGGTTCGCAAGATTTTAATTATACGAGGACTCACGAAAGCATTATTAACATTTGGAACATCCTCGATCGCTTTCAAAGGAGTGTGAATAATCTGATCTGAAAGCTATCTGCCGATTCATTTACGCAGTGGTATTCAACGACGAGCGTTGTCCTTCGTTAAAGATCACCACATAAACCTTGGAAATGAATTCTTGACATATCTAGGAGCTCGTGTTACAGGTTTCCGTCCAATGACAATCTAAATGCTTCTCATCTCTCAAATGAAAGGTTGCCAATTGCAACGCTTCAGATGAAAGAGATACCATCATTTTGTTCGTTCAAATTCGAAGGACATCTAATGTCCACTGGGCCCAACGAGCACACCAGGTCCGAGGTTTGTTGCAGAACTATATATTAGAATATGAAGATTCAGTTGTCATGAACTGGAATGCGTCGTACAAATTATTATTTGGTAATTTTTTTCTGGGTTGAGTGTATCGGCCAACTTTTCTGTAAAAACGGGAAAACCCGGAGAGTGTGAAAATCGCTGGTATTCCTGAATTTTGCTGAAGGAGCTGGAGTCAAGTCTCGGAACATTTCGAAGATACCGTCGCCCCCAAATAATTTCAGACGCATGTTTTTGATCTCATACACAGACGGCAGGTCTTTTTGGTCCAAGTTCTAATATTTATCAAAATCTGATATTTATCTCTATATACAGTCCAAGAAAACTTAATGTTTTTGTTTTTCGATCATAAATATCTTTTGCATTTAAATCTTTGAAATAAATCTCGTGTGTGAGTAGGTAGATCCGGTAATACATGAGTTATGTAAACTGTGAGCTGCAAATTTATTTCCAATATAAACACGACGCATGAACAATCCACGTCTGCGTCGACTTTTCTTATTATAATATCTACGGAATAAACAATTTGAATTCAACCCATGAATAACCTACATTGATCTACTGAAATAACTCAATGAATGTTATAACCATTTGAATTATAACATAAATTCAGGTTTTCAGAGTCAAAGGGATAATCCGTTTTGCAAGTGTGCAGTCACATCGTAAGTTTGATTCTTAAAATAAAGTTAAGATGTAAAAGTCACATGGAAAACTCTTCAATCTCTTTGGATGTACACTCAGATGTAGTAAAAAATTCTCTCTGATAACACCATCTGTAACTGTTAGCCTGAAACATTGTGACTATACATGTAAGAAATATTTCTCTTCTAACATCAAATTTTAATGTAGAGTATAACATTGACTCATATTTATATCACTATAGATACTTCTTAAATACTGGAAAAATCCAAAGATTACTTTTTAAAGATCAATTACTCTTGTAGTATTAGATTCAATATAGTATCCAAAGATAGTATAATTTCAAAGTTATTTTATTACTTTCCATAATCTAATCTGGTTGAAAGTATTTACTTGATAATACCCATCCGAATCTAAATTGTTTGATGTGACCCCATCAAATTTAGGTGTATCTGATGGTACTCCACCGACGGGACCGTCGGTGGAGTACCATCATAGAATTTCTACAAGGTGTTTCATACTAAACTAAAGCTTGCATCATATGCGAGCTTTTCTGGAACTTTGAGATTGCAAAACAATGAACTGTTACATACATTTTCACAAGTGCAAAGAGGTTTTGGGTTTTGAGTTGTCAAAAATTCTATTTAGTGAACAACGGCGAACTTGTGAAATTTGTGAAGGAAATTCACATTGAATGAAGCGGAGGACTTGTGAGTGTGAGGTAAGTTTACAAATCTTAGTGCGATTGCACTAAGAGGAGATTTGAACGATTCAATTATGGACCGATGTGGACAGTCTCGCTGTCACAGTTCTATTGTCTTCACCCTTTGTTGATACTACAACATGCGCGATATGATTGTCAATGGGGTCACATCGGGTCAACTAAACTTAAAGTGACCAGAAATAGTTTAGGTTCTGCTAGGGTACCATCAAATAATCAATTCAATCTTGGCACTTGTAAACTTTACAAACTTTATATTGAAATATCATTTATATTATTGAAATTGGTCAAATATGTTCGGGAAATATATGATAAATTTGTATTGTCATGATATGAATATTATTTCAAGACTTTAAGTACTTAGAATATTAACAGAAATGATTAGTTACTGTTTTAAGTATAGTTGGCACTATTCAATCGTAAAAGGTACACTTTATGGTTAAGTTAAACGCTCATTCTTATGTAGATTAATTATCAGCCATTTGGATATTATGCAGCTCGTGCTTTCTCCTTGACTTACACAAGCACTTCCAATAAGATGGTGCTTTTGATATGTTTCGATTCACTCTTGGCCTTTTCCAGCGCATTGCATTTTTCTTTAAATTTGGTATATTTATTATCTCTAATCTATTTTAACAGTAATCAAACTTGGAAATGCATGGCTTTATAATCTACACACATGCACTCGACATTGATTTCAACAGATTGCCCAGACAATCGCGCCAAAAAAAGGAGAGAAATTGTGTGCTGAATCAGAGACGTTTTGAATAGAAATTACGTATCACGGGCATGTCACTTTAATTGATAATGACGTAGATTGCCTGTGTTTTAAACTCCCGGGTACCATGTGCTTGCTAATCACCAGAGTCGTCTTACTTTAGATCGGCAAGATCATGCGATGGAGTGGCCAATTATACGGGATGAAAGAATTTTTTGTGTCTATCAAACATTTCCGCATGTAAAGGCTGACAATGCTACGTAAGAGTATAAAGAATCGTGAAGAAGGTAAATAATTACACTGTCATCACTCACTTATTAGATTAGTAAAAAAACTAGTAGAATGCTGGAACTAATAAATATATAAAAAGAGGTATGTATCGATTATAGGTCCTCTAATGAAGTTTTACTCTTGCAAAGTTACTTTTTGTTGTGAAGGAAATTGCTGTTCACACATGCAAAGGATACTAATCTTCTCTGTAAAAAATCGCTTTTACGAATAAATGGCGCGAGAAAATCAGCAATTGCTTGTTGATATTTTCCATGACACTGGTTTGTTGAAAAGAACGTGGTAGATGTACTGGTTGACGTGACCTGCGTTACATGAGCCGCGACCACTGAAACTGATTGGGACCGATTGCTCAACTGAAACGTGATCTGACGAGAATCAGCCGCCGTTACACATCCAATCGCTGCTTAAGACACGGGCGTTTGATATGACATGTATGTGCTATGAGCACACAAGCGCTCGGCAAGCCGTCACTGGCTCGATCTTCTGTCGCCTGGGAATAAAAAGATGACGACAAAAGCATGACACAGTAGTGATTCATCCTGAGTCAGAATGGCAGAAATCGCGGCCCCAATCATCCATATGAAATACCTCAACGACGACGAGGAAATTATGCCCATTACATACGAGGACCATTGCTCGGTCTGTTTGGGACCACCTTCGAGCTCAGTGATGCAAGGATTCCGTGGCTAACATTCGCGATGAAAGTTCAAGAATTCACTCCGCCAAGCCTAGGAGCTAGACCAAGCCCTTATGTGGACGTGGATCCTTCTAAGAAAGTGACAAGGCTGGAAATGGAAATTTTTATTGTCAACGGAATACTTCCGCCCCACAGAAACATCGCTCAGATCAAGGACGTCCTGATAAGCAAAACGACGGTCTACATTGTCCAGGAGCTATGCGGAACAAAATCTCTCTTAGACTTTTATGGCGACGCTGACGACAGAAGTGCGCGCAGGGTCTTCAAACAATTAGTCGACGTCACTCACTTTATCCATCAATATGGCGTTGTACACCCGGCCTTATACGGAAGAAGAATTCTTTTTGCTGACTCTAGCTACACGGACGTCAAGCTCATAGACTTTGGCAGTTCTCATTATAACCCATCGACCGCTACACGAGTACGTGATAATTTCAATCCAGCTCACTGGTTCACGGGAGGAGAATTAGACACACGTTACAAAAGGGGATGGACACCACAAGAAGATATAGCATCCCTGGGGCGAATCCTGCACAACATTCTCGCCGGAGAAGAGGTCGATCATTTCGGATTCGATGAAGACTACGGCCGCGAGCACCCCGCAAACGAAAAAGACTTCGAAATACTCGAAGACGAATTTAAGCCGAGGGTGGATGTGTTTGATGCGCAAGCGCTGAATTTGCTCTCCATAATAGGGCCGTCCTATTTCCGCAATCAAGCCCCACTTCCCCGATCCCTGGACCAGATCCTTCTCCATCCTTGGCTTGCTGAACCAAACTAACTGACCAGCTCTCTCTTCCAGCATTCGATATTTGCCATGAGCGTTGTCATGGGGCAAATATTTTCTTACATATCTGCACAAAGTCTTATTAGAGAGTTTAAAGTTTGAAGTCAGTCAGTACTCTCCAAAAGGATTTACAGGAATTGAAGCACTGAAGCAGGTTCCATAATCTCCGGAGATGTGAATGCGAACTTCAGATGAGAAATCTGCAAGGGAGAAATCCATGCATGGTACGCAACGAATTTACTGTGATGCTGTAAGCTAGGCCCTGAGGTCTAACTTCATCCTCTTAAGTAAATGCAGAATAAACAACGTAGACGATTATTTATTTCCTAGAGTCTACGCTGCAACAATCTGCGTAGGTTTAAAACTCATGAATGATGAGGTAAATACCTAAAGGCAGTTGCATTATGAAATTTCATATCGAACGAGTTCAAATGAATGATGAGATTCGTCAGTGCACGTGTGCTGGATACAGATTCAGCTCTACTTGCCTTTGTACTTATTATAAGCTTTTCAGCGTTATGATTTGCCTAATGTGGAATTCCTACTCCTCAAACTTGTAAGGTGCAATATGACAAGTCTGATCGTGTAAAAAAGAATACGCGATGTTCATAAAGATGATGGAAGCATGGTTGGGTCCAAGACCATGTACAAGTCAAGATGATTCTTACAGGGCCTTACACAAGTCAAGTTAGTTGAAGTGCTCAAGAAATATTCTAATTCATCAAGGTTTTGAGATTAACGTGATTATTCGACGTTATATCATCAAGCATTGATTGCAAGTGTCATGGTGTATCATTGAGAGTTCTTTATATGGAGAAAATACTAAATCTTGTTATCGACGTATTGACAAGCATCAACAATATGGAAGACTTTAGTGATATCATTTATATCAAAATCCAAACCTACCGGAACTATTTATTGAAAGTGAAATAAGGCTGTGCATATAACCATGTTGGAATAATTGCTTCTTATCAATGACAAAGTAATTGATAAATTACCTTCTATGATATGTGAATACAGTAGCCTCCCTATTTCATACACATCCGTTTGAGCACGCTGCCGGTAAGTACACATAATTTTTCTAAAAAATGAGGATCAAGATTTTCTTAGTTCAAAATGTCAGAGATCGTCATTCTGTGCATGTTTTGTAGATTATTGTATAAGGAAATCAATTTTTGGTCGATGGTTTCTCATATGGCAATAGGAGGCTGTATTTTGATATTAGTAAAAAAGAAAAAACTAGACAATACATACCATATTGTATCCGTTTTCCCAATAATGTTAGGCAGTAAACAAGTACAATTGGTCTAAATTTTTTAGTATTCCACGATTGGATTTGTTTACTTCAATTACCTCCTCAAGAAGCATCACATTTTGCAAGCCTCATCGCCTTGTGATTGATTTAGCAAAATTTATAGACTTAATGCAAAACTTTTTGCTTTGGTGGCAGAATAGTAATATTATCCTTACAGACATTCAAATTGCAACTAATTTCAAAAAGTTGAATTTATTTTTTTAAATAAATGTAAAAAATATAATAACAATCAACTTTGATCAACATTTAACAAGCATACAATTTTAAATAATATTTATTACTTTTTTTTTTCCAAAGAATGTCTTTTTTTTCTAAGAAATGACTCAGTTCAAAAATATGTAATTAAGAAATTCCACTTAAAAAATTCATTGTTGGAATTTCAAAAAATATTTTTTTCATTCAAAATATTTTTAAAAAGTATTAAAATAACACTTTCATTATTTTTTTATATTAAAATACTTTAATAGATTCTAATTGAATTTTATAACATATTTTTATATATTTTTATATAGCAACATTTTTGTATAAAAAATAGTTGAACTTAAAAACGTCAAATTTTGATGTTCAAAAGTAATAGACATTAATTTTCAAGCTTCAAAAAGATAATTTAATATTCATCTATTACACTGTAAATTATCACATTATTGTAAATATCAAATTTTACATCAAAATTTTAATATCAGAATAAAAAATTAGAAGAAATCATCTTCGTTGCTCATAATGGAAGGGTTCTTATCAAGAGGTCACAGAAAAATATGAAAAGCTGTAAAATGTGGACTTCATCGAGGACTCCTAAAATTCGGCAAATGTCAGGTTTGCCCGAATGAAGGTAATTTTGGCAAATTTTTCTCCTTAATTTTGGCATTTTGGGCATTAACACTGTGCTTTCACTACTTTTTGTTAAATGATTTAGTGTAAATCGTTTTAAGCGCTTCAAATTACTTTGCATGCACAATGTCCGCCAAGGAAAGTCTCGTCAAGCTGATGCGGTATTCATGTTTGTCGCATTTGATGATATAGAAGTCGCTTTCAACCGACGTAGTATTTAGAATCGCTAAAAAACTCACAATGATCAAAACAAACATGCTATAGATATGATGTGAAAGAAAAAAAATGAATGAAAGATATGAAATGTATCTGATAACTTCTGTTTCAGTCAAGAAAAGACTCACAATGATCAAAATAAAGATACTATAGAAATGGTATGAAAGAAATAAAATAAAATAAAAATATGTAAAATGTACATAAAACCTTGTAACATACCCAAGAAAATATCCGCAATGATCAGAACAAACATGATATAGAAATGGTATGAAAGAAAAAAATAAAAATAAAAATACATAAAATGTACATAAAATCTTGGAATCTACCCAAGAAAATATCCACAATGATCAGAACAAACATGCTATAGAAATGGTATGAAAGAAAAAATAAAGATATATAAAATGTACATAAAACCTTGTAATCTAACCAAAAAAATATCCATAATGATCAGAACAAACATGCTATAAAATTGATATGAAAGTTGAAAGAAGTGAAAAGAAAAGTAAGAAATGTTTTTGAGCATTTCTATTCCAAACAAGAAAAGATTCACATTGATAAAAACAAACCTGGTTACAAAGATTGTGTGAAAGGAAGAATGTGAAAAAAAAAATTGAAATGTACGCGAGTTGTATTTTTCTTATTTCTTCTCTTTCTTTTCTGCGTCACTTGCTCTCCATTGCTAAGTTCTGAGTACTAAAAATATAGGCAACTATTCGCAAATTTAATCAACTGAGAAGCACGCTGAAGTTTTGAGATATGTAAATCACTAACAAATTCAAGCTCATACACTCATAACCTATATTGGGAGTATGCATTACTATCATAACCTACTCCTTCCTTTAACTGAATGCAAGATTAATTCCGGAAATTTTTGTTCTAAAATTAGAACACTAGATTCGGACTTAATCAGAGCAAGCTACTTCTTGCAGATCTCATCATTAACCTTCAAAAACTTCTAGATTCAGCTCAGCTATTTATTTACCGAAAATATATCTCATCATTAACCTTTAAAAACTTTTGGATTCAGCTCAGCTATTTTTTTCCCAAAAAGACACATTGCCTAAAGCATAAGCGCAAAGGTACATAATGACTTCATTTTAGATTTCAATTGTTGAACCGTCTATCAAAGTGAAAACCGAGAATGAGTAAATAGTAAAACACAAAAATGAGTGACTGTAAACGAGTCCACACGAACATGTAACACCGTAGAGGTGAAGTACACGGCTAAAAAACACGCAAGTAAAACCCTCATACGGTAGAATCACCTTCAGTATTTAATCCCCCATCTAAACCTGAGACAATTAACCTGAATCAGTGCACTAGATCTCAATTCTAAACTTGAGGCAATTGTAGAAAAGTAATTTCTCTATCCATTTCTTGTCCAATGAGAAAGTACGAAGTCCAGGTTTTTCAGCTGAAAGATTGGCAACGCCTCACCTCTCTACCTTAAGATGTGGGTACCATACATTTCCTTTCTAAAATTTCATCGCGTAACCAGTCGACGATTGGTGGCATAAATGCGTACTTCGATGACTTTTACGCTATGGCGTAGATGTCTGGAGTACCTCGGGCAGTTTGAGTTCTCGAATTCATGGTATTTATGGAGACTCACTTTTGATGGACTAGGCCTCCACTGGATGGAGCTGAAGAATGTCGACAACATAACCTGTAAAAGCACAGTCAATATAAACAATGGCGAAACCGTATCCCGTCGCTTCACAAGTATCTCACGACAAATGTATGAAATAATTAAACCTCAGGTTGAAGAATGTGATTTAGTCAAGAATCTATCTACTCCTAAAGCTCCTGAAATTAGCTTGATCTTCACAAATATGGTAATTTTTCTTAATAAAAATTGTATATAGGAATCTTAACTTATAAAATAACATATAGTACACATATTGGACTGTATCCAACCATGAAGTCTGAAATTTGTCTAATCTCCACGTCTAAATACAAGTCATCGGCTAGTTACGTAGTTCACTTATAGGAGTCTACATACTTCAGAATACATAATTTTTTAATTGTGTCGCTTAGAGTTACAATCAACTTTCGTATATAGTATAAGGCTAATTACTGTACTCAACTAAAATCACACAAACTAAAATTACACCAATTGAAATTAACAGGGCCTCAATTAACTTTTAAATCATAAAGATTATTCAACAGTTGGAAATGGTTTATTCGATTGGATAGATTTATCATCTAGATGACATTGAGTCATGAAAAAAAAAATTTATTGTAATATTTAGAATGCATTATATGTTGTAATGAATCAATTGATGGATAGTATGATGAAACATGTCAACATCAGATGTCTATTTATAAGAATTATAATTTTTATAATAAGGTTGAGTACAACTATATCTTGTTGATGCATTAATCAAAGTCATGAATTTGAAAAAATTTCAAGCTTCCTTTGATTACTATGTAGCACAAGTATAATGTACCAAAATTAATTTTTCAATACACATTTGTATATATTTTGACTAGGGCTCAAATCCAATTTGGTTCACTATACAACGAGAAATTTCGCAGATTTATTTTAAAACTTACACATCAACATGGGAGTGCATGTGAACACAATGTAATTTTACTAAAATCATTAACTTCATGAATCATGAAGAGATATTATCAGTAATCTTACACATTAAAGAGCTAACTAATCAAATTAACATCAGTTACACTAACTAGAATAACAAGGTATAAATTAAGATTTTATAACTTGAATTCTACATAATTCAAAATATGTGAATCCTGCAAAATACAATTTGGATCCATTTTGAATTTCTATATAGACTTTTCATCCGTACTTGAGTAGGAAATCACGTCTTAAACTCGTCTTCTAGTTCGACTGATCTTTTCATGTTGTCTTGAGGGATTGTGCTCACTCAGGTTACACCCGAAAACAAAAGCGATAAATAAGAAACCATAATTAACTCACTTGGACTTGAAGAATAAGAAAGACCAAAAGGTACAAAGCAAATGTTACAAAAGGCATGTAAATCCCCAGCAAAGAAAAACTGAAAAGCAGTAAAAGAGGAAAATGAGCTCATCACTATCTTGACTTGTAGCTATCTCTTCTCTAGTGACGTGAAAACAAGTCATCATTCTAGAAGCATGTCTTCATCTAAACATATAAATAGTGAAAGCTAAGGAATCGCCTAAAAAGTTCATACACTGTACATGATATACTCCATTGAAGGCTGTAGGAGGATCTGTAGTGCCTTGTAGGCCTCGGAGAGAGTCTAAAACAAGCGAAGAAGCTCAGTGGCGGAAGTCACTACTTTACATTACCGCAATGACTTCCGCCATTGAACAGCCGAAGTCCTCCGCCACCTTGTACTTTCTTGTTTCCTACTTACAGTGTTGGAGCTGGCTGTCTATTTATGGAGGAACCCTACCGAAGAAACATCTTAGACCTTGTCTCTACATCGGGGATCGGGACTCCTGAGTGAAGATCCTCAGACTTCCTCGACTCAAGAAAAGTCTAAAGACCACGTGCGACACTACTTAAAGTCTGAGGCATATTAAGTATTTCAGATTTCTCACAGCGTGGAGGGGTAACCTATGCTTCAACGAACTTTATGGATGAAGTCCACAATTTTACGAAAGCTACTTGACTTTCGTTCGAAGTCGGAGACGTTAACGACGATTTTCAGTTAACTGATTGAAATAATTCGGATATCGTCGGGCTGCTTATGAGGGGAGGACGATGCCCGCGGGGATCAGCCCCGCGCCTCTTGACTCAGCAGTTGCAGCCCCGAGGGACGCATTTGAGCGTGCCCGAGTCCAGGCGGCTGGAATCCCACGGCCCTCAAAGAAAGCGGAATTGCGTCGAATTGCGTCGGCCTCGGGGTCTGGAGAATCGAAGCGCTCAGCGACATCGGAGAACAAGAATTTCAAGAAGTCAAGCCTGGATAAGGCAGGAGCGACGATTCTTCGGCAGGAGTTGACAGAGAACGAGAACGACGAGTTCATGCGTCTGGAGGCAGGTTCTCGAGGCTCGATTTCAACGATCTTTGACGTGACATGCTCGTCGTTCTTGGAGGCCGAAGGCGAAGGGAGGAAAAGAGAGTGCGCCGTGTCAATCGTGGCGCTGAACAGCTTTCGCGTTGGCGTTGGGTGGCAGTTTGAACCACGTGTTTGCGGTGCTGAGGCTCGGTGGCTCCGATAGAACTTGAGTGGATGTACTCGAAGAAGGCTGCACCATGCATGTGCTGCTTTTCGGCTTCGAGTGAGATAGATGTTGATGACTAATTCCGAAGTAAGAATTGCTTCTACTCGAGAGGTCGAGACTTTCCTCGAGGCGGAATTGGAGAGCTCTATTGGCTAAGCCGGTAGAACTCAAGTCTCGTGGGGTTCGCACGTCATATATGAGCAGGTACTGTCGACCTTACGCCACGACTTGACTCGTCTACTACTGAGAACAAAGGTCATGTATTCTCCGGGGCCTGTTGCTCGGGTGTCTTGTCTATTTTCTGACGATGTTTTTTGGACAAGAAGCTTGCGGGGAGCAATTTCGTGAGAATTCCGGAAAGAGGATCGGCAAGCGCATACTGAAGTCTCGCCATTATTTCCGGTGAGTATATATAAGCCTAAGCGTGGGGCATTCATGGTGTGCAAGTCAGATACGTTACGTGGGGAAGTTGTGTAGCCACACGTTTGTACTGTGCTGCCGGCTGCTTCCAGACTTCGTTGTTTCTTGTGAACTGAAAGCGGTTGAATATGTTGCGGAAATGGTGGTACATGTGATTGTAATAGTCTCAGACGCAGTAGATTAACAAGATATGGTCCCATATTATCTCGAAGGGTTCAAAGAGAGACTTGAAAGACGGGATAGATGGTCTACATGGCGACCTTCGAGGAGATTCTATCAATCTGGCAAGCGAAGCCGATGAAGTCAAAGAAGCCGATCTCGGTTGTCTCGGAGAGCTCGAGGAAGCTCAGTCAAGATGGAGTTTTCATTCTGAAGACGACACTGCAGATCGGGATAGTCATGTGCTTGATTCTCGCGTGCTTCACCTTTTCTTACTTCAACGATAGCGAATTTATTCCATTTCTCGTTCGATGTAAGCATTCACCTGCATCCTTAAGTTATTTATGTCGATCAAAGCTATCTGATTTCCTCAGTTGTAGTCCAATGCAATCAATCTTGTGCCTTGTTTTGTCATGATTCTCATATGAGAATTTCCTATATATCACCATGTTAGGAAAGTAGACTTGAAGTTTACCAAAATAGCCCTTGATGCAGTGATGATGCCTAGACGAAGCCTATTTCCGATGTAGAGTACTGTGCATCTTCCATGTTCGTAAGCACATCCAGGCGATAATTGGAGAAAGCGTAAGATCTGCCATGAGTAGCGTGTGCGGATGCTGAAGTTTAAAATTCTGTGATTATGAAGACTGGACATGACTGGCCAGAATGTATTTAACACTTGTTCTTATAGATCAGCAGAATGTTACGGTTCACCTTGGAACTCACTGGAAGCAGACCAACATCATCTCTTCGGAAGTCAGAGAACAAGCAAGGAACAAAGTAGACTGCCACTTGCAATTGTTCTCTCGACATACCGGGGAATGCCGTGGCTTGCGTGTACAAGGAGCAAAGAGCAAATCAGAAATTGGCACTACCGCCAGTACCTTGAGGATTGAGTCGTTAGCAGGTCATTCAGTTCTTAATATTACTGTAGAGGAGAATATGGAAGGAGTTGAATCAGGCAAGAAACAGCCTATCAGTGAGCCTAAAGTTGTTACAAGCTTATCTCACGACTGGGATCACGTAAAGAGCTTGAGGACAAAGCGAGAAGGCAGCACGAATGAAAACAGTTCACTCTGTGCTGGTAGTCTTTCTTAATCTCAGCGGTCCACCCTGATTATAGTGCACCTGCTGCGCTGTTAAATTCAGGACAACGAAGTCCACTTTTTTTTTCAGTCTGTTTTTGTGAAGTCAAGTTCATCAACTACATTCGTTGTAAAAAAATGCGATGAAGGTCTCAGTCAGCCAATTTGGTTTGTCAATTGAAAGATTTGGTAAGCCTTAAAGTTATGGTCCATATCACAGGTTTCCAGCTTTTGCAAGCCTCGTCAATTTCAGGTTTATCTCTCTGATTCTCGGTCCATCGCTCTGTGGTCTCGACTGATTCCAGGTTCCTGGGGAATTGCGGTAATGGGAGAGGGTCCGAACAATGATGCTTTCCGGTGCGATCGTCATGATAAACGCTCCGATGTGTGTTTCTTGCGTGGCGATGTTCTGCTGCGCACAGGCAGTGTTAGTGAATTAGTTCTACGTGTCTCCAGTTCCGAAACATCAAATTGCCACCATGTGGAGATAATTCGACCATACTCTCGCAAGTGGGAGCCTACAACTATGGCGTCGATAGAACCGGTGACACTAAGAATTGATGGGACTCCAAACGGTACTCATGAACTATCTTGCGATTTGCACCATTCAGTGCCAGCCGTCTTCTTCTCCACGGGTGGTTTTACTGGTAACCCTTATCACGACTTCCAGGATGTGCTCATTCCCCTCTTCATAACATCACAGCATCGAAAAGGAGAGGTTATCTTTGTGGTCAGTGATATAAGGAAGTGGTGGATTGAGAGATGGAACAATGTGCTGCAACAGCTCAGCAATTATCCGATTATCGATACGAAGGAAGACATGAGACATCACTGCTTCCCTGAGGTAACCGTGGGTCTCCACGTTCACAAAGAGTTTGGTGTTGATTCCGCACGGATGCCAAACGGTGAAAGTATGAAAGAATTTCAACACGTTCTTCATAAAGCACTTGGGATTCCGAGGATGGAAGCGGTTTCTGGAGTCGAATTACTTCGAGCACGGACAAATTCCACCCTTCTAAGTAGTATGCTGAAAGATCAGGACAACAGTACAAGGAAGTTAAAGTTATTGATTGTTGCAAGGACGGGCAGTCGTGTACTGGTAAACCAAAAGCAGATTACCAAGCTGGCGAAGTCTCTGGGCTTTGAAACGAAGGTCTTGAGGCCGACGGACAGAGTCGAAGTTCCAGTAATTTACAGGTTTCTCTCCAATTTCTTCTGTTCTTCTCCTTGGACGTCGTGGCTGGATTCTCTGTTTGCGAACACGAGAAGAGGGAATTCAATGCTCGGGTGAAACTGGAATCATGCGCTTCTTCAGTTGTTTTCAGTATTTTTTAAAACGTCTCGATGTTGTCCAATTTTATAGCCAATAGACGAAGTGCTCAGTAATACTTATATCCATCTTGTTGCGTGTGTGTAAACAGCGAGTTTCATAACAGCCACGTAGTCATGGGAGTTCATGGAGCCGCATTGGCGCACATGGTGTTCATGAAAAGAAGAGCAGTTCTCATCCAGATAGTTCCATTGGGGACCGACTGGCCCTCCGATCACTACTATGAACGGCCAGCGAAGGAACTGGATCTTCAGTACATCGAGTACAAAATCCAACCCAACGAAAGCTCTCTGAGCAAGAAGTACGGATCCGATCATCCTATAGTTCGCAACCCAGATCGTTTCACATCCGAGGGTTGGGCAACCATGAAGCAGATATACTTGTCCGATCAGAATGTCCGCGTGTCTTTAAAAAGGTTTCGCAAGACTCTGCTAGAGGCCAAGCAAAAAGCATCTGTTTCTCCGTGAACGTTTGAGACTGGTATGGTGGTACGTTTCATGTATATTGGATAGTTGATACCTTCTACAAGGAATGGTCACGTGCAAGGTGATCAGTTCCAGCCATATAACTTGTTTGCTCGGCTCGAGTCCCCAGCTCGACATACGACTTTGAAGACTCGATGGTTCTGATGCATGCGTCAGATGGTTGTTTCTCACAGATGTTTCTTACTGAGGACCAGGATGACTACATTTTGAACAATGCTGACACGTTTGGATCAGCGAAGGTTAACAGATTATCGCACGGCCTTAGCCCTAACCTGTAGCGGGAACAGACCGCAGGGAACCATAGCATGGCGACTTCGCAATTTGCAACTGGTTCCAAACGTGGAGCCTGAAATGGTACAGAAACTTAGCGCTCGGCGTCACGAAAACTTGACAGGGCGGTGTACATGAAAATACCAGAATGGAGGCACCATAACATACAGCAATGTTTTCTTTGAAGAAAATGGCCTTTACTCAGTGACTATTCGGTCATATATTGGACAGGGCTCTTTCTTGACAGCCAGTTAGAATGAATTTTTACAAGTTTCAGGACTTTGCCACTTTCTATGCGCAAGCGATCGATCCCTGTGGATGCGTTGCTAAGACATAAGTAGTGGAGAACATTTCTGCTTCTTGGCGAAGATTTCAGATGCATATTCCCCTCATACGAGAATGCTTCATCAGCCAATTTCAAGAACAGCTGATATGAAGCGAAGATAGGGAGGGAAACATCTCAGACTCACAGCACTAACAGCACTACTCTGTGTTGGGGCATTCAGCTCGTCTTTCACTGACTTCCGAAGAAAAAGACATGTTACAGTTGCAGGCAAGCGAATGGACTTTAGGAGGCCAAAAATTTTCCGGCGATCTCTAGTCTTTAAATTTCTCAAGGTGTCCAAATACTACGCACATGTCCAATCATATATGATTCTTTTACAGAGCAATTTGTTTCCACCTTCGATCCTCTTTAAGTCTGACAAATTTGCAGTCGGTTCACAACCCCAGTGTAACGTAGGTGAATCTCGTGTGCATTTGAGGTTTTTCTCATCTGACGATCGAGTGGAAGTTCCCCTGCCCATCGAACTCAGTTAATGTTCTTGAGAAATTGAATAGTGTTAGTGTATCCACACAGAAAGTGTCGGTCAAGATTGGAGCATGTTGCTACACATCTGTTCCACCTAAATTCCAATTCCCTCATCTCCGATAATACAGTGCAGTACGTTCAGCACTGCAAGTTCAAAGGCTCCTGACAAACCCTGAAAACCATGAGGCAGCCTTCACATTTCTCAGATGTGCATGAAAATCAGACGATCTTCAACGCAGAGCAATAACCACTCAATATATTCAGGTAATTGGAGGTAAGATCTCGCAGCAAAATACATTTACAGAGCGTAAACTAGATATTTACATGATGCGCGTGCCAGCAATCTACTGTTTCTTTTACATGTCCAAAAAAATCTAGGTTACCAGGAGTTATCTGGGCCCAGTCGTCAGTCACACCCGGCAGCTGTTAGCATGTTCCGAAAGTACTTCGGAAGCTGTTTCGAGATGCTCGTCGACTGAGGCCACTATTCACTCTCGTAAACATAGCCGAAAATTCGTTGTAGTCGATACGTCCATCCTGGAGAATACACGTGTCATGAGTCAGGTCATTAACAAGTGTAAGTCTTACAAATGGGCATTCTAACTTAATGAGCCGATATTACTCGTGTATACTAAGGAGCTCACCTTACCGTGTCCAAGATGAAATCGGCCTACATGGTTTGATGGATTGGAACTGAGTGTTCACTTTGTTCTTGTATGACTTTAACGCTATGGGAGATGATTCTGTGAGACAGACAAACGTCTTCGTGGACATAACTTTCATGGTATGACTTAAAAGTGATTCCATGAAAGTTTACTTGTGAGCATAAGTATATGCTCAGACGTTGCCATCATTCCCTGGACATGTCGATATGGAGAAGTTGCCGGGGAAAGATTTCATCCCAAGTAGGGAGCTGAGAGCTAGTTTCTGCTTTTGGTTCTTGATCGGTCATGAAATTCGCTGTCCTATAAATAGGGATGCAGGATATACTTTCTCAATGAAACACAAGCCACTCCAGTGGCTCAACTTTTCACGAAGATAGGGATTCGACCGACAGTGAGAACAAAGAACTCAGGTTCTTACAAATGACAAGTACATATTCATATTGGCGCACTGCTTGATACAAATACTCACATTGTCTTTATCCAGTTCTTTAATCATGTCATCAACCTGCACGTCCTTCAGATGGTGTTCCACACAAGCTTGTTGCAGCTCATCCTTTGTGATATAACCACTGTTATCTCTGTCAAAGTATTGGAATGCTATGTGCAAATTCTCCTGCTGTGAAACCTTGTTCAAGCTGATGGTTGCCGCGATGAACTCGCCGTAGTCTATAATTCCATTTTGATCAACATCAGCCTACGCATTCCAGAACAATGTGCACACGTCAGAAAGTTCATCCATTCTTTTCCTTCATTTCTGTATCCATTGGTGCTTTCCTGTCATCGCGTCTTAAAGACATTAGACCCCGAATACTGGCTGAGCGGTGCTCTCCTTTCCACAAAACAAAGGGCTATTCGGCACACTCCTCACTGTCACTACATACAAGCTCAAAGTTCCCTGTCTAAAGTTCCTCGGCCATATCAGGTTGGCAGGTGATGGTAGCTTGATGAGAAGACACGTCACACACGGTCCAACTATGAATCAACCGGAATGGTATGTATTGACCATATGTATGGGTCTGCCAAGCTAAGGTCGTGGTAGTGGTACCTCACCAGGATGTAAACTGCGTTATCGACATTGAATTAAGTGGTATTAATATGTGTTATACAACTCTATATAGTCAGCACATGCATCGACTCTTGAGAAGAAAAAAGGCAGCGGTCTACTTACAGCATCAAGTAGGTCGTGGATCTCGGAATCCTTGAGGACAGACCCAAACCTTCTGAGGGCAATTTTCAGTTCTTCGAAGGTGATTGTGCTGCTGTTATCTGTGTCGACCATTTTGAATATCTCTTTCAAACCTGCAATCTCCTCTTCAGACAGATTTTCGGCTATAACCTGTAGAAAAAATCGTGGACCGTGAAAAGTTAAATTTCATAGTACTGGATGCCGACACTCTACTAATACTATAAGAAAAGCATTCTTCGACCAGAGGATGAAATTGATTTCGTAAGCCCGGAATAGAACGTATCAAGTATAGGAGTAAGCTATGACTTCGTACTCGGATTGCCATCTTCTTTAGCTTATTCATCGCTGAAAACTTCTTGAGTCGGCATTGAACGATTGGATCCATGGGGACATCAGGAGCTACACCGTCTTCCTGAATCCACGGATGCACTGCACAACAAACATCCTCCAACTTCGACATAAGAGGACATTCCGGTTACACAGACAGAGAACAGAGAAGCAGAACCTCAACAAGTCATTCTTCCTTTCAAATGCGAGTGTCAAAAACTTCATTGATTGCATATTTGGACCAGAGTAGAGGGCTCACTGAGAGCTTCACGTGCTGTCGGTCTTTTCAGCGGATTTCGGATAAGCATTTTCTGAATTAAGTCCTTGGCCGGCAGCGAGATAGACTTCCATGTTTCTGACATGAAGACTACATCGCTCGTAAGAATCAACTTGAATATAGCGTCCTCATTTTCTGTTACACACAAACAATCAAAACCATGATTCATACCTGTACAACCAACAAAATTTACATCATCACGAATTCAACAGGAGATTGAACTTGAGCGGGGTGCAACGACGTCGTCATCATAATTGCTCAGCCTGCTGCTGTTCTGTTAAGATTGCCTGAAAGAGAAGCGACTTTTACCTGCCCAAAAGGGAGGAATACCACTCAATAAAATGTACAAGATAACACCAGCACTCCATACATCGGCTTCGGGTCCGTAGTTCCTCAGTAGAACCTCAGGAGCAATGTAGTAGGGACTCCCGACGATATCGGTGAATACCTCATCTGCAGCCACCAAATAACAAATCTGAGCAAAACAAAAACCTCTGTCACACAAAATCGTCCTGTCCCTCATTGTCTTCTCACTGCAATCGGTTCAACACACTGGACACGTCGGCTCTTCGCCCTCATTACGAGTCAAGATGGTTCTCTTCAGTGCTAACCGCCGTTCCAGCAGCTGAGGGTTCCAATCTGTGAGGACAAGCCCAATCACCTGCGTTCCAGCCATTTCTGACTAGATTTGGAAGCGAATTTTGAACAGCCGATGTTGCATCTGTCTCGTATGTGTACCTCTAGCTCTGTTTTCCCTCGTTTTCCACCACGGGGCCTCCTTGTGCTGTGTCTGCTAATTTTAGGACGTGGACTTTGAAAGAATGAAATCCCACGTTCACCCGAGCACTTCTACGGAATCTGAAACTAATCGTCGAGCAAACACGAAACAACTTTCTTCTGTCCTCATACCCGCTCTCGGTACTAAGTTTGAGCAGCTATGGGAGCACAGAGTTCAGCGAAGGATTTATATAAAGAGAAGGTCCAAATCCTCTCGTTGCAGGGTGGATTCCTCGACCGAACTGCTGAGGTATAACAGGGCTCGGTGGTGGGGAGGTGGCTAATTCGAGGTCCCATGAAGAGATGTGGAATGCGGGAGAGAGTAGGAAACTGACCAATCTTGAAATACGTGGAGAGCCCAAAGTCGATGACTTTCAGAGGAGCATCTTCGTCTTTGTCGGCGAGCAGGAAGTTCTCCGGCTTCAAGTCGCGATGGAAGACGCCGAGCTCGTGACAAATCTCGATCGCTTCGAGAATCGCTCGAATGGCCGCCGAGGCCTGAGCTTCGCTGTAGTGCCCACGCTGCGTGATTCGGTCGAACAGCTCGCCCCCGGCGCACAGCTCCATCACCATGTACACATTTCCCGTGTCCTCGTACGCGCCCTTGATGTCGACGATGTTCGGGTGCCCCGACAGAAGGTGCATGATCTGAATCTCGCGCCTCACGTCCTCCGCATCCTCCTTCAGCAGCAGCTTGCGCTTGGGGATCACTTTACAAGCGTACTCCTTGCCCGTCGCCTTCTCCGTGCACGAGTAAGTGGTGCCGAACTGCCCAGCGCCCAATCTCCTGCCGATGATGAACAAATCTTTCGGATTCTCCGTCTCCCTCTGCAGAATCGAGTTCGGCACCTTGTAGCGGATGGACCCGCTCTTGGTCATTTGGCTCTCGGGGACCTGGAATGTCACATGATGCGTCTGCTTCTCCAAGTGCGCCATGGTCTCGGCCCAAGGCCCGCGGCCGGCAGTCGATCGCCGTTCTGCTGCTGACGCTGGCTTGTGGCGACGACCTCTCGGCTCGCGGTCGAGAATTGGACACGACGGCGATCGACTGCTTCGGAGCTCCCTCCCTGTCCCTCTCTCTCTCTCTCCCTTTCTCTCCCTCTATCTCTCACACGTACGAATGGCCGCCTGCGTCAGTCGACGTGAGCTGCGCGCAATCCGTGGACAAGTACAGCGCCCGCACGACGAAGAATCCGAAAGAACAAGTTCTCCCCACCGAGGCTGTCGATTCTCGTGAACTTCAGCAATCCGACGAACCGACCGACCGAAACAAGAGTGCACACGATGAACCACTTAATAAAACCCTTCCGAGACTTTTGAGACTTTTCAAACTTTTCAAACTTTTATATACGAGGAGGAATCGAGCTCTAGCGCTCGCTCTCTCCGATGACAGGCTCTCGCTCGCCAGGAGCAACAAAATCTCAGCAAACTCGCAGCAATCGATCAACTTCTACGACGACGAAGACGAAGACCTTGCTCGTCACTGTCAGGAGCTGGAAGCGCTTCCCTGGCGGGGGCGGGGGGATGAAAGACGGGGGAGAAAGGACGGGGGCCCGTTCTAGCCGTCGGAAGGCGCCGTGGCGCGCAAAATATAGGCGCGCGCAGCGGATCGATGCGGGGGCCAGAGAACGGGGCATAAGAGCCGCGCGGGGCCTAAATGGAGGGAGGGGCGAGGTGCCTGCCGAGGGCGACGAAGAAACGGGCGACAGTGCACGAGGCCAGCGAGTCCTGTGCCGAGGTCGGGCTCGCGTGCGGGCCCTCCACTTCGTCGAATCTTGCGGGGCGTCGCGAAATCTGCCGCTGCCAGGCTATCTATCGGCCTAGACTCGTCGGCAGGTGCTAATCCAGCGACTCGCCGGACCACATCGCCCGCCTTCGATCGGCCCCGAGAATCTACCTTCCGCAGCGATCGCGTTCGTCTCGCTCTCGATCCCCACGGACCGGCCCCTTCCCGTTGACTTCGATCCCGGTCCGCCTTGCGCAGAAGGTGAGTGCACATTCGACTGGACTTTCAGCCCTCCTCCTCCTCCTTCTCTGCCTCCGCTCGCCTCCTCGTCGTTCAACGCTTTCCGCTCATCCTCATGCTCATGCTCCTTCTGCTGCGTTGCTGTTGCTGTTGTGCACGGTGTTTTCTCTGGAGCTTTCATCGGCTTGGCGAGTTCGCCGGGGCTGTTGTGGTGGATAATGCGGGTGGGATTGCGTCAGCTCGTCGAACTGTGCGCAGTTGTTGTCACCAAGCTTTTTTGCCTACACTCATTCCCCGACGACGCAAGCGCTTGGATCGAAGGAGATCGGATGAAACTTCTGACAAGATCGCGCGCCTTTTGATTCCCTCCCTATGCCGCCCGGGGACGCAAGCCCCGGACCTTTATGGCTCTGCGCCGAGATTCGCGTGACAGTAAAGGAGCCCTCGTCGTCTTACGTCGTGCACGGTAAATAGGCATTCAATGCAACCTTCGATCCACATGCCCCTCGGGGCTGCAACTTACCCCGTTCTCACTTTAAACTCGTTAGTTGTCGCCAAAGCGCACATCATCGGGGAAAGGTGCGACTGCAAACGCAGAAGGGCATTAAAAGCGTGATTCGATGAAGGCTGGCTGACGCGGATGGAGTCCATGGAGTCTTCCCAGTCTATAATTCAAGCAGTAGAGCAGCCGCTGACCGCTCGGCAGCTTTTTTACCAATTGAGCTTTCGAAGAATTTTGCTTAATCAGACAATTCGTCGCTTTGAGGTCGTTCCTGTTGGCAACGATCGGAGAGCTACCTTGCTCACTTGAGGCTGACAGCTGCAGCGTCGCAAGAAACAAATAGGATGATGAACTCTGTGACGAACGTGACTTCGAGTTGGTCAGATTCCAGCTCTGACTGCCGTGTCATATAAGAGATCACCACTCACAGCGATGGAGTCTTAGTACAAGTCACATCAACGAGGAAGTTGGACGTCTTCTGCAGCTCGTTCAAAAGCTTCGGAACGATGGAGCCAGCAGATTATAATGTACAGCTCTCACGCCATGCACATTATGTTTCAGAAGAGCGCACGGGAGGCTTTGGCATAAATCACCAGTTCAACGCTGCAAGTGAACGACGGCTTAGTGAAGCTTCAGAGCATGAACCTTCGTGCATTCTAGTTTCTAAGTGCATGAGCCCTGACAGTTGAATTACAGTCATGAGTACGTGGAAGAGCCTTCAGCTAAAGAACGAAGCTTGAGACAGAGAAGGACGACACTCTTGTCCTCACGTTACCGCCCCAGGACAAGAAAGTCTCTAGCCCCATAACCGCCTATTCTGCTCCTTGCGGATCACTTTTCCTTCTCGCTCATAGATTTGGCATAGGAATGTAGGATTTCGGGTTTGGCCTTTCCATGATCGCAGTTGATCTGAAGCTACGCATGACATCTGAATCGTCACAGCAACAGCTTCAGCTTCAGCGCCAGCTTGTTGGTACTGCGCCTTGCTCACAAGATTCGGGAAACAGATCCCCAGAACTAGCTTCAATTCTCATATTCCATAATTCTGTGATTGACTGTGACCCCGTCCCACATTTGAATCTTGGCGCGAACTGCTCTGCTTGAAACCAGTGGCCACAGCTACGTGGACTAAAGCAGATGTTTGTGTCCAGTAAAAACAGAGAAGTGATCAAGTGCAAATAGCTCTGTGCAGGTCATTACAAGCCTCTCCTTGGCCTCACTGGGAATTCAACTCTTGACGAAAGCATGCACTTTAGAGGATGTTAATTTATAGCAGTCGGAAATATACACCCATACTACATCTATCAATGAGGGCAGCGCCTAGTGATAAGTCTCTGCAACGTTTCTGGCGACGAATCTGAACTTACAGTAACTGAAATTTTGCTATTGGGCTTCAAGGTTCGAAGTTGCTCATGTGTTACAGGCTGTAATAGCGTTCCGTTCCAGCCACGGCATATAATTACACTTCCAAGTGCTGTGGCTAATTTTCATTGGTGGCTTATCTTATCACTATAAGTTTGTCAAGAGAGTGCAATGTCATGGGTCGGTAACAGGCTATCGAGAGCAAAATGATCGGAGAGAAAAGCACGATTGAGTGATTCATAATTGGTTCTTGACATCTTTAAGTGCGATGTCCAAGTATGTGAACCTAGAGGGGGGCTTAAAAGTAAAAACGGAAACACTGGACATCCGTTGCATTCTTAAGAAGATAAAGTGTGGGAAGCTCTTGGGCCATCAACTCTGCCTCAAGCACCGTCTAAAGCCATGGAGATGAAAGCAAAACAGATTCATTTCAAGATTACATAGATACAAAATAAAAATAAAATCAAGTGGATCTTTTCCACATTTCGAATTGTTAGGAGAGATTTTTTGAGTTTCAGTATGGTCAAGGTATTTACAAGATGCTATCAACTCAACTAGATAGAATCTAACTTCAATTTAAGTAGTCAAATCCATATATATATATATATATCATTGTTTAGGGAGTGATTAGTTATCCTTCACTTTGGGCTAATCATCACTCACCCTAGTATACGGTATACCATGATTGGTACAAAGTTATAGGTGATAGTGGATTCAATTTATGGCTCTTATAACATGGTTGGACTCCTCACAAACAAACTACAGTGGCCACTATACTCCGCTGCTGTAGTCTGACCGCAACCCGCCGGCACCTCGGGACTTCGCAACAACTCAATTGGGCTCGGCTCGTCCTCCTGCTGGTCTGATATAATCGAATGCCTCCTGCTGCGGCTTTCGCCGGCCTGAATGTGGATCGTGGCAATGTGGTGGGCTGGCCTGACGGCACTGGAGCGCGACGGGAGATGTATATGTGAGCCAACAGAGTTGAGGAGGGAGGGAGAGAGAGGGACGAAGTAGGAAGGAAGTAATAGGAGAGTGGCCTTATGTACTTATCTAAACTAGGCCTTTACTTGATAGATAAAGGTTCACCAAGTATCCAACGAGAGCGGAATCTCCAACCGGGTAGCTTGTCACTCGATTCACTCACTCATTCAATCAGCTGCAGAAGCGATCAAGAAGGGCAAATATTTTATTCGTGGTTACATATTCCAGAACTTATCACAGTACACACATAGGCCTTGACAAGGTAAGGTAAACTTTTAGGGTTACCCAATAAAAGGGTAAAAGTTAGAGTTTTGGCTATAGGGCAGGGTAAAGGTAAAGTAAAGGTAGAGCCAAATGGATTACTCGGTATTTATCGGGTAATCCTTGTAACCGCGGAAAACAAAAATGTGTACACTCTCAGAATTATTTAGAATGTAATTCTGCACATTGTATTGAAGTAATACAGGTAAACTGTACTAAACAGGTAAATTACCTCTACCTTTTACCCTTTAGGGTAGAGGTAATAGGGTAATTACCGGGTAACCTTGATGTAAAAGTAACTTTTAAATCTTCAAGAATATGTATCAGGTAATCCGGTAATTAACCTTGAGATAAAAGTAAAGTGTAAGTATAATGACACGAGTAAGGTAAAAGGTAGGTAAAGGTAGAGGCCCATGGCTTACCTGGTTACCTTGTACCTTACCTTGCCGATGTCTATACGTACATCAGGAGCTTTCTAAATGCGTCTTTGCTACTTCAACTAGCGCAGAGGTCGCTAGTTGAAGTAGCAACTCGTGTCGATGATCTGAGCTGAATATCATCTGAAATTGAATTGTGCACATCAATTCAATCACTGTGCACCTTATTCCTCCTTCCTACTCCGCCCCTCTCCCTCACTCCCTCCCTCCCTCCTCAACTCTGTTATGTCACACATTCATTCCCCGCCCCGCTCCAGTGCCGTCAGGCCAGGCCACTACATTGCCGCGATCCACATTCAGGCTAGCGGTAGCCGCAGCAGGAGGCATTCGGTCAGATCAGACCAACAGGAGGACGAGCCAAGCCCAATTGAACTACTACGAGCGCATGAGGTGCCTGCGGGTTGCGGGCAGTCCGCAGCAACGGATATAGTGACCACCGTAGTTTTTTTGCGGGGAGTCCGGCCATGTTGTAAGAGCCATAAAATTGAATCCATTGATACCTATAACCTTGGACCAATCCTGGTTGATCGTGTACTAGGGATAGTGATGATTAACCCAAAGTGAGTGATAACTAGCCCTATCTATTCTAAAATGGCGATTATACATCATACATGTCACATGAGAGTATTTTCTGATTATTTCTGATATACTTCCAAATCAAATTTGAAACAACAAAGATGGCAACCTGCGTTCTAAATTGGATTAAAACGTGAGTTAAATTTTAAGAGAAAATAATGTTGTTTCTAAATTTATGTAAAAGAAGTGCATGTTCTTACAACATCAAATCCAAAGAGCGATAAGAAAAACTCTTGCCATGATAACAGACATCCAAGTTGGAGTTTGAAAAACATATGTGAATACGGAGTACTCTATCATGCCTCTAATCAAACTGATATGGTGCTTCGAATATAATTGACTTTATATTTTTTAAATAAGCTTCATCATAGGCACGTTCCAGAAAAAGTATCACCGCTATATAGAGCGGTGATACTTTTTCTTCAAGGAGATAATCTCATAGAGCAGCATACCGAGAAAGATAGCATCATGTATGGATTCTAGAATTCTATCCGAACTTGGACCCATTTAATCTCACGGTTAATTTCAAATTACATTATATCAACTTCAAAGAAGCGGACAAACTGAACACATTAATAGGATCAGTGAGGAAGGGCTATGTATTTAATGTACGGTGGATTATAGTAATTAGATCGATCAATTATGGATGGTGGAATCTAGCTATAATTGCAGAAAAAACTGTGCTTCTGACTTTACTCTATTTCAATGTGTTAACAAAGATAGTCGAAACCTTTATACTAACCATTGACTTATCTTCTGGAGTTTAACCCCAGCCCTCTACAAGATACTCTAGTTGCAATTGCAAACAACTTGCTCGACAGATAAAGGATTGGTGCTAGACAGAGTTTAGCAGCATATGCATACATTGCTCAAGCTCGGTGCAAGAAATACGACAAAAATAAAAGGGATGTGAATTTTGAATATAATATCAAGTTTGGATTAGAAGTAAAAAACCTCAATATCTCCAAGGATCTCATCAGGAAGTATTTAGCTTTAGAATCATGTTAGAATAGGAAAGATTGAATATAAGGTAGAGTTTACAAATAGCATGAGGAACTACCATAATGCTTTCTATACATATAATCTCAAAATTTATTCGGTCAATGATGACCAAGTGGGATTGCTGAGTCGTCATTTGCCACTCCTTCTTTACGATATTCAGATGAGTTTGTACAGAAAAATTCCGATTTCAAAGGTTTGTTAGAACTGGAGAAAACGTCCAAATTTTCTTTTTGGTGTAGTGGAAGCACGAAGAGTACGAGTCTACTGAGCAGCCTTTGGCTTTCTTGTCACTTAAAAGCAATGTAACTTTTTTGAAATATTCTGTGTCAGACTTCGGCCCAAAAAGCAAGAGAGCAAGAACTCGATCAATTGCATAATAATCGACGAGTTTGTTAAAATCTCGAAGCTTCAATGAAAATGTTTTTAATTATCGTTAAAGCCCTGTCCTTGACGAGGGAGTCACAACGAGCTTGTCTGCATGTGCTGTGACAGGCAGTCGGAGACGAGACATAGTGTCACACAACTGGGACATGATCACAATGGTGACACTGCAGGGGGCCAGCGCCATGTAAACTGCCCGCCTGGTCTCATCCTCGTAATAGACAATGGGCTCTCTTTTGGTTGATTACTCGGTTCATGTTGAAGTATGAAATGCAGAGGAATCGACAGCCGGCCATGTTGTCGACGTGGCCGTGGCTGTAGCCGACAGAGAGGTCCCCAGCTGGTGACGTGTCTGTGGACGTCAACGCCGAGCCGAGGGCTGGGCAGGACGAGGAACTCGAAGCTCGAGGTTCAGGGAGGGACCGATCGAATCTGGCTGGGTTCTGGACTCTCTGGAGGCTTTGATATGTGCTGATTTGAGTGTTGGAGTAGGGCCCGTCCCGCCCCGTCGAGCCTCGAGTGTGGATTGGGTACGGAACTGACCGTATCTCGACTTCAAGCACCATTGGCGCCACAAACAACGGTGAGCTTCACTCGCATATCTGTCTATCTATCTATAAATCGAGGTGCTTCAATGTCGTGTTGGTTTTCGCGCAGTACCTTCGGATGCTGTGGGACTTTCTGCCTGACGCTCGCAGGTTTCTCACCCCTTCACACAATTGTGAAGCTCTAGGGAGCTCTCGGGAGTTGCCAGCGCAATTCGGTAGGATTACAGTCATTTTTGAATCTGTCGTCCATAGTTCAGAAGTTTGAGGGTAGCAGCTGTTTTTCTGCATACAGAGCCCGTTGTTGGATTAGAATCTGCTCTGTAATGAGTAACCTCCGACAATTTGTCAATTCTGAAGAGCTAGAACTAGTACAAGAATTTTGAGTCTCACATTCGAGTAGGAATTCTGGTCGTCAAAGATCAGATTGATCAATCTGGCATCTAGTGACAGCTGGAGCTACTTCCCGTGTGAAGTGTGGAGCAAGTCACTAGGTTCTAATTGATTCGATTCCGTAGAAACTGGACTGTCTTTGGAGCTGTAATGGACGAGAGGAATGATGCCTTGCATGCATCCCACGGGAAGTTCTGGTCATGCTGTCTGTCGTGATCAGCTTGGTCGTGATGGAAATTGGAAGAGTGTTGATGCCGAATTGTCTTGTTTCCATCAAGGTTCATGCTCCAGGGGGGCCGAAGTTCAGGCCTTGCTTGAGTGGTTGGTACCCTCAAATATTAACTAAGCTGGAGTGGAACTTGTGTGTCACAGGATGAGGATCTGAAAGTGTGGCTGTCCAGTTCGTGTAAGACAAAAATTTAAAAAAAAAAGGTGCATAAATTGATTCGGTAAGCATTGAAACAAATTGCAGAAATATTTCATCGGTTCATGCGCTTGCAACAGTGCAGTAGTTCCTTGTAGAACCTCTTTCTGGTTCATCCATTACTTCTCTCGTTCACCTCGCAGAGAAACGGTTGCGTTTTTAATCGATTGTGAACCGTAGATTCTTGTGCCTTTCAATTACTATCAGCTTTGACTAGTGTCTTGTTTCCGAGATTTGTGAAATTTTTTCAAAAATTCAGTCGGAAATGGAGCACGGTTCTGGTGACACTCGGACAGTAATGGTCTGTTTGCTAAAGTCTGTCTGTTTCGTAGATTTTTGCGAGTTCACTCCACGGTGTAGATTTGCACAATGGATAAAATAGCACAGCAGCTGATGATGTCCAGGTATTAAATTTTCGCGTCCAATCCTGGTCGTGTTGGCCAGAGACTCAATCCCGAACAGGGAATGTTTATATCAATTCGTAGTGCTTTCATTGGATCATCAATGAATATTTGAAACCTGAATTTGTACATAGTTGAAATTTAGCGGCTGCTTTTAACGCCTTGCTGTAGACTAGAACATGTCTGAGGAACTTTCGAAGCTTACATTTTGAACTTCGTTGTACTTGTGCTGAATGCCAATCGCTCACATAAATCACGAAGCTACTTTTACACTTCTACATTTAACTGACCTGCACAACATGGTTCACTTGCTGAGCCATGACTTTCTGACTGTGTTGTCTCGGTAAAACCTTTCCAGGCCGAGGACGAAGCAGACCAAGGCATTTACAGAGGACGAGATGGAGGAAGAGATACCGTCACCTGAAATAGCTATCGCTTGTATTTTGCCGAAACCTCTGGATCTTAAGAGCACTGAGTATGATCCACAACAAAGTAATGCAATCGAGTATCTTAAGAAGGAATTACTGGCTCAGGGTTTGATTGTCCAACTTTCAGATGGAGTACTCACGGAAGTATTCCTCACGGTACACAACAACTCGCCACTTGGAACTCGAAATTTTGTGCTAACCACATCCATTGTCTTGAGCTGATGTTGATTGAGAGGATATTTCAAGTTTCCTGTATCAACCCCGATCACTTGTCTATTGTTATACTCGAATGTTTGTCCTTCTCAAGAATACCATCTTACATGTAGGTTGCTGCCCCATTGGAAGTTGTCGGTCGTGCGGCCGAAAGGTTGCAGATACGAAAGCCTACAGAAATAGGTGACTGTACTTTCACTCAGCCATATTTTGGATATCGTGCGGTCGAAAATTATGCTCAATGATACACCTGCATGGAGGATCATTTTGTTGGATTCTTTCATACTTTTGTTTGAAATGTCCACCTGCTTATCCGTCTTCATTCTCGAGTGCTTGACTGAAAGCATCTTCGTGTGGTCAATTCACAAAATTTAATGGGCTTACAGTTCAGAGAAATTTATCTAAGCAGTCTATCAGTCATGTATCGTGCTTCTGTTGACACAAGTTGATACTCGGGTTTGAGCATTTCATATAGCTGTTTATCTTTCAAACCTTTCTAGAACTAAATGGCGATGTGCTCCGATCTTTTGACCGTATGTGGCCTTTTTTCACAGGACTGGAAGTTGTCTTTGATTGGGAACGAAGGCATTCTTTTCTACGGCAGCCAGTTGATAATAGCCTCTTCAGCTGGACTGAGCGGTATCATTGCATGAACCTTATAATTTCAGGACTGGTAAGAGAGACACTGACTTTTTGTTTGAGGCCATTTCGAGTTCAATTCTCATAGCACTCGACCTAGACTGAATTCTAGCAAATACCTGTGTGCACAGTTCGTGCTTACTCTATAGAATGCTTGGGTCGGTAGTTAGTGTACTCGTCCTGTATAAAACTCGACACTAGTTTTTTCATGCCATTATCTCCAGATTTCAATATTTTATTTCGATCTATCAAGAATGACTTAAATTTCTGCACGAACTCCTAATACTGGTCGCTTGATGTGACAGACTTGTTCTGCAGATAAACCTCTCACGTTCCATCGACCCGATCAGAGTGGAGAATTTCAGGTGTTACCTGGAGAGTTGATACTACCTAAATTGAAGATGGCAGGAGTTGTTAAGGAAATGTTTCCATTGCATGGTAATAAAGGACATTCTTTAAGAAACATGTTGAACAACATTCGATCTGCGTACTAGTGAATTATGTCCTACAACTTGGAATGCAATGAGATGAGCTGAACGTCTGTACATGATTGTGTAGTTGAGAACAAGCGAAAGGAGCTTATGAAAAAATGGCCTTATAGATGGCTCTCTCTATGGTCTCAACCAATAGATGAAGTCTATGCGTACTTCGGAGCAAAGGTAAGGAGTAGAATATTTTTCGAACCTCGCCATGGCCTTTTTTCACTGATTTGAAGTGATGACCTGATTTTTTAGTCGCTACTGTACCACATAAGGACCAGAAAAGCTCGATTCAGTATGCACTGTTGTCTTTCTAGAGATCCGTCATCTAGAGTGTTGTTTAAATCCCTCTAACCTGATACCGTTCTTTGTTGTGGATCCACTTAATATCTGCAGGTGGCCATCTATTTCGCTTTCCTTGGTATGTACACAAAATGGCTTATGTTCCCTGCGTCCTTGGGAGCACTTCTTTGGTTCAGGCGCTTGGGGTAAGCTTCGATTGATGAAGCCTTTTCATTTTGTTGTTCCATTGGATTGACCTTGTAACTTCATAAATGCTTGAAGATGCTCGCTTGATTGAAGTGCACCCCTACATAGATTTAGACTTCACAACATTCTGTTTATTTATCTCGATGTCTATGTGATGACCTATTCATCACTTTCATGACATGTAAGAGTTGTCGGGGACCTGACGTTTGTGCATGATTCTACTTGCAGGACTTTCGCATCCGCTGTACCGATTATATTTTCGATGGTTGTGATCATCTGGGCAGTTCTGTTTCTACAATTTTGGAAGCGCGAAAATGCAGGATTATTGTCAAGGTTCTGAATCTTTCTTATCTTGCTGATGTGCTTCTAATATCTTTATTTAGCTGGGATGGAGGTCATTCACCGCTCATTTTAAACTTGTTGAAGCTGTGCTCGTGTGGATCTACATTAGGATGATGTCGGGTCACCTTCAAAGTGAGACAGGGTACATTTTTCAGGTTTCTACACAACATATGTACAGCTATCCATGAAATTTACAGTCCATAAATCGTTTGTAGATGGGGAATGATTGTGGAGGATTCCGATGTACGGGCTATGAGAGCAACCAGCGCCTCCGAGGAACAACCAAAGTTCTCAGGTCTGAATGATAAAACAGATGATGTGTTCACGTCGGAGGCTGAAGCTGATAGGCTGGAGAAGGAGGAATGGATGGGACGGCTAAGAAGCGTTAGAAACAATGGCCTCGTTTTCTTAGCCGTAGTCTGTGTACAACTACCTTTTGAGTTGACCTACGCCCATCTGAACAAGATTGCTCCTTATGATATCTTTAGGTGATTCTTCTCGCCTTCAGCTACAGGCTTAACTTTTTATGTGTCAGTCTGAAGCCATGTGCTGCACTCTGCAAGCCGCGCTTGTGCTTCAGACGGTCGAGTCCTCTGCTTACATATGGTAAATCTTATAGATGTCTTGGTGCACACATCTACGTCCATGGTGATTAACTTTTCGGTCATTTCCGCAGGTATATCCTCACAGGAATGTATCTATTTATAATGCAATATGCGACAAAGTTTGGAGGTACTATTGCTCTACATCTTGTAAAGACACAAAAGTATCGCAGTAAAGAGGCTGAAGCGGATGGTCTGATATATAAGGTACATTGAGGGGATCATTTGTGCCATCAATTATTATTATTTTTTCATTGTTGTAATATACGCATCAAAATATACGAACGTATACCGTCGTATTCGGATCTCTTCGGATTGGTAAATCCGCCAATTTTCTGAAACAGTGTTTTAATTCTAACAGAGTTTCCACAGTTCCTTCGTACTAGTACCAGGATGAAACACGTTAGGCTTAAAAAGCTCAGTTTTCCTACAATTAAATCCTGAATTGGATGTGACTGCAGGTCTTTGGGATATATTTCATGCAGTCATACATTGGTTTGTTTTACCATGCTCTTTTCCATCGAGATTTTTTTGTTCTGCGACAACTTCTGATTCAGAGGCTTATTGTGTCACAGGTATTTAAAAGTGAAGCATCCCATTTATCAATACGGTCTTGGAAATAGAGTGCAGAAATGTAGTGCGAGGGTCAGGTTCTGGTCGTCTGTTTCACTAGGTAGTTGGGCATTTGTGGTTATTTTGGATTTGTCCAGTACATTCTTCGAGTCCTGCTAGAATCCGTGAATGGTTTGGCGTAGCGAAAATGGAAAGGATCTTGTTGCTGACCTACTGCGAAACCGTAAAATTTGACGTTGCATGAGTTTTTGTTCGTAAGTCTGCTGCCTTTTACGGATGTCTGTTATAAACAGTTAGCTTGTGAAATTCGTAATGGGTGGTGATCACTCATCCTCTGGGTCAATGTTGGTGTTGGTCAATATGTACAGCTCATGAACAACTTCACCGAGAATCTTCTGCCTTATCTCAACTATCGTTACGCTAAATTCAAATCAGTGAAGTATGTCCAGCTCATTACAAACCTCCTCTTGGCAGTGACTTATATGCGAAGCTTTGTTCGTTTGCACGTGTTCAGTGTATGTTGACGATAGTTTACTTGGGGTGACTTTACATACTGATCAACACGAGCAATGGTAAACTTAAAGCTTATGGGCCTGGTTTGCTGTTTGCTTCCAGAGAGGATAATGAGATAAAGAAAGCTGCTGGAGAGAAATATGTGAAACATCATGCGTCAAGGATTGAGAAACAGAAGTTGAAGCCCACGTATGTGTCAAGCATTCCAAGTGACCTGGAGGATGGACTCTTTGATGGTGAGATATGGTTTCTGTTCCGCTGATAGGCGATTTGATTAGCTTTTCCTATCACATTCACAATGTCAAATTATTCATAAAATTATTCCTGTTCCATGGGTATTCATTGTTCTGAGCAATCTACAGGCAACAAGCAGGACTGTCAAAGCATGTGAATTTTATATACCTTGATTAGTTACTGAATCTGGACAGTCTTCATATTGAGACACATTTCGATTATTTATTTCTTTATTATTAAATTTTTTTTTCTTCCTTTTAACATTCCCCTACAGTCGTTACTGTCGTTGTAATCTGGCAAACGTATGACTCTTTTTTAAATCGCAGATTATTTGGAGCTGGCTCTTCAGTTTGGCATGGTCACCATGTTCGCGTGCGCCCTTCCGTTGGTGGCAACTTTTGCTTTCATAGTACGTTCACAACCAATGTCTATTTGTCGCTAAGCACCATATAGTGGCTTATGTCCTTCTGTATACCCTATGCTTCTCAATTTAGTTGAAAAGTTTTTTCTGGCAATGCCCAAAATTTGCGAAAGATTTCAGATGCATAACTTCAGGATGCAACCAGCAGTCTTACTGACCTATGATCCATTTGGGTGGATATGGTCTTCAGAATAATTTGATGGAAATTCGCTCAGATTCTTTCAAGCTTTTGGCTCTGATGAGACGACCGGTACCTCGTGCAGCTTCATCCGTCGGTGCTTGGCTCATGATATTCCAAGTAAAGATCCTTGACAACTATGTGATAGTACAGACTAGTTAAAGTGCCATGTGTTCCTTCGATACTTCTTTTTTGCTCCATCATGTCTTGCAACGCAAGTACTCAACTTACTTTGAACGCGAAACGAGTGACTTTCTGCTGTTCTTTTGTAGCACATGGGTGTAGCTGCAATTGTCACCAACTGTGCTCTTCTAGTCTGCCTGTACGATGAAGTTGGTGACTGGTCAGTGGAGCCTGGTCTTGCTGCAATTCTGATCTTGGAGCATGTGCTCCTCTTGATTAAGGTTGGGTTTTCCTGGTTTGTACCGGAGGTAAGCAACCGCCTCGCTTAAACAACACTTTCGCCAGTCCTGCCGCTTTAGTACTAGTTCTCAAGATTGTCTGTCGATCTTTTTATGGACAAGTGGGTTGACTTACTTACTCTGACGTTTGGTGCTTTTGTACCAGGAGCCAGCATGGGTGAAAGCCAAGAGAATGAAACGTATACACGTACAAAGTCTCGTGTCAAGACAACTCCTGAGTTTGTTAGAGAAAACCAGATCTGACTAAAAGCTTGACAGGCGCTTTTATGTAGATATCCGTGTGAATATGTCAAGTAATTGAGCAGAGGACGTTCGAAAATAGGACATGTCCTGGAGGTCTGTCAGAATTGACCCGTGCCCATGCCAAATGAGTAGAGATTGTTTTTCAGAGACGGGTTTCCGATTGATCCTTCAGGCGTGATTTGTAATTTGCTGCTGCGAATGTAGAGTGTTTGTTCGGTAGGCCAGGATCGCTCGCACAGCAGAAATATGTTCGTTACGTGTTGAGTTTTTCACATTGGAACTTGGTGCATAGGTGAGCAGTGTTCAGATGTCCGGAACTGCTTATACTCTTGAAGGGCGTTGTAACTGTAAGAGTTTGTAAGTTGGTATTATTCTTCTGTGATGCTTTTGAACAGAATCATCTACATAAAGATTTTGTCCACCTGACGTTACTTTCGTTTCGGTAATGTGATGAAAGAATTCCGGTCTCCATGTCAGGTTTTCATCTGGAAACAATGTGATGGATGTTTCAAAACCTTGTCTGTACTCCCACATATGATATATAGATGGAAACAATTTTGCTTCTAATATAATATCTCTCGCCAATGATACACCAACTTGTACGTCGCATTATTTTCGTTTTCGAATGGAAGTGAGAATAAGATGATTCTCAAAACAATATCAAAGCGGAACGAATAGATCAATCTCCGGTCTATTGATTGAGTACTATCAGGCCTTTACTTCAAACCTATCATACTATCAATTTGATTTTTTTAAAATTTCTTCTTTCATATCTAACGCAAGTAAATGCCAAATCGTAAATCATAAGTCTAGTGACTACAGCTTTTCAATTTTATTCCGATTATGGTTTTTTTGTATTGTTCAGATTAGGCCATGGTTATTTGTATGGTTTTTGCTGTAGTGGTTTATTCTTATCATTTTTGTCGTCCATCTTACACTTTTCATTCGTATATACACTATTATCAACACCAATTGAAATTTCGGAGATTTCAATTGGTGTTGATAATAGTGTAGATCATTTCATTAGATCTTAAATTACTTTACTGCTATATACGAATCGATCAATATTTTCTTCTTGCTTTTTCAGTAATAAAATCTTCTGAATCTCTTCTTTTCCAAACTCATTAGAGACGATGATTCTAAAGTCGATCAATTTTAAAAATTACTCCCCTAATGAATATATAATATCAAATATATTCACTTTTCGAACAATCAACATGCTTATAGTATTACATCTGCATGGCCTACTTTAGAGCAAGACTCCAAGATGTGATATTCTATTTTTAAATGTCAAGTTTATTTGACAACTTTACTCCTCAGCAAGTTTAGTATTTTGATATTCTTTGAGCAAATGATCAATTGTACAATTTGCATTCGATGATCGTACCATTTTATGATTCAGATATCGCATTGAACATGGTTGCAATGATCCAAGGCATTTCCAATGCACTACTATTTCCCAATGCAAAATTGTTGTTTTTATCACCCACGGCGAGATTATGATGACAAGAAGAGATTCTAGTGTTATGACTAGAATCAACAAGGAGGCCGATTTTTATTTGATATAGATTTGGTGTGTCCCTCATCAGGTTAACCTTGTCGTCAAAGATTGTTTTCATTCGACGTATGATAGATTATTTTACAAGATTTCACAATTTCAAAGTTCATTTACATTGCTAGTCGATTTTGCAGCGGGAAATGGGAAACAAATGTCATATTGAAACAAATCCATGGGTTCACCTTGAGAATACTCTATTCTGGTGGTGGATGCATTTCGTAGCTTCATCATTTACTCTTATTGCAACTAGGGACTTTGCAAAATTGCATAATCATTGATTCATTGTATTGATTTGTACTATCATTTCTTCATATAACACATTATGTTCATTCGTTGGTGCTCAGATTAAAAGTTTCTTTCAAGCTTATGAGATTGTATCGCACCAAATGACTATTTGTATATCTCAAAGATGAAATTGATTGCTTTCAAAGGTCTCCCCAACCTAGCTTGATAATATACACAATCTGTTTGGGTAAAACATATAATTATTTTGAAGATCAAAGTACCAAAGAATATACAGCAATGTCATTATCGTACATTTTTCATTAAATATTTAACAAAAATAATGTTTTCACATAGAGAACTTATTGTTTTAGATCAACTACGATTGAAACTACAAGAGCAAAGTTCTTAAGAATCTTAAAATATTATTTATTCATTCATTTGATATTGGTATCATTGTGAAAACATGAACTGGAGCCTCAACAGTACTCAAATCTTATTAAAAAATACTCCATTATCAATCACTGAAACATTACATTTGTTATATGTAAAAATGTAACACAGATTTCAGGTTTAAGACATGAGATGCTTTTTTTATTTAGATTGACCCAACTCATTTTTATCAGATTTTAGATTCCTGAATTATCTAACATCCCACACAGCGATATTACTGGACCTTGCCATTCGTTTTGCTTCAGTTTCTTTTTATTTTTTTATATTTGATAGTTTCTTCTCATTCCTTGTTGGTTAGTACTGTTCTTGGGTTTCATCTGATCTTTAAGATCATGGATATTTAGAAATTTGAATCTTGGGCTTGAAGAGTTTGAAATCATGAAGGTGATGTTCGTATTTGTAACCTTTTCAGTTTCCCATTCCCCTCGGTTTGACTCATGTCAATGCTTGAGATAACTCTCTAGTTTGATCTTGCTCAAAGAATACCCTCGATAATAATACAATAATGACTTTTCCAAAGTGGATGAAACTTTGACAAAACGACAAGAACGAACGAGGCAAGTGTTCCCGCCACCATGGCCCTCCTCTTTCTCGAGGGACATTTGATTTGTCAGGCCTGTCCTCGATTCTGAATCCACGTGAGGTTTCGGAAGAATGTCATACGGCGACATCGGACTCCGGTTCGTATTAGCTCAAGGCTCTGGGCTGCTGATTTGGGTTTCAGCGCCTCAAACGTGGTTCATCTAAATTGCGGGCAGATTCTGCGTAGAGTCATCGTTCGCAGCACGGGATTGGAGAATGACAGAAACGAGCGGGATGGAATTGGAGATTCCGATTTTCGTTTTGTGAATGGCGTGGACAGCATTCACCCGTCCAAGTGGGTGAGTTCACGACTAGATGACGAGTAATTTCAGATGTAGAAGTTCGAAGCTTGGAGGAGGTGGTCACGAAAACGGTCGATGTGGTTGTCCAGGAGAACGCAGGAATGGATAGCTGGTGGCAGCAAGAAATTGCGTTTTTTTCATTTCCGAGTGGCGCGAGGAATGTGGACCACTCGGTAATCCAAGAGACTGCGGCTTGCCTAGAAAAAGGGCGGCGAATCGAATTTCTCCGGCTTTTGTGCCAAATGTAGTAGGGCAGAAAGAATGGAACCATCAAAGAGGAAAGCCGAATCTCGTAAACCACCGAAGGGTGGGTTCAAGAAGTCCCGCACCAGGGGAAGCAGAGATGGTGGAAAGAGCTTCGACGGTACGGACACCACTGATCAATTCGAAGGTGAGTCGTTAGCAATTGATTAATAGATCAGAAGGGTGATTGTCATTGGAACTGCGTAGTTGATGACACAAACGAAACTGATGTTTCGTAACGAATTACAGCAGATTTAAGTAAAGAACAACGAATTATCAAAGCCAGATCAAGAGATATCTGCACAGTCCGGCCGTTGCCGAAATAAATTAGATCAGTTGTTTCAAGTTCCACTGAGGTTGCTAGCTTCCCGTCCTGTGCATAGTGATTCAAGAATCTCTGGCAATTTTAAAAGTATTTGATTGTTGAGCTTATGAGATGTCAGATTAGGAAGACCATTTCAGTAGTCTCGAACGTTGCTCTTGTACAGAATATCCCAAACACTACAGCGAAACGTAGTGAAGATTATGCAACAAATAAGGCCGAGAGTACTGCAGTGACGGTATATTGTGTGCTCCCAAGATTCCTTCATCGTTTCAAGTCGATGCTCGATTTCCAATTTCACGGAAGGATTCGGGTCGAAGCTCGTGACTGAAGGAAAACTGGCTTGAAGCATCAACCTCTTGGTCAGCTCAAGCGAAAGAAGAAGGCGTGTCTAGAGTTATTCAAATAACATGTTCTTCACAGCCAACAACTGAACTTTGAAAAAACACAACTAAGAACTGAATATCGGGGCAGGACATGCTGCTGATCCAGGTTGTTTTATCTGTATTTGTTGCCCGCACACTCGTTAACATAGGTTTTATTCTAACAAAGGTCCACACTGACTGCAGATAAGTGGAAGAGAGGCGTTGATGAGGTCGTTGACTCAAGACTTTGGGTACAGAAACATTCTCCGGTCAGCGAAAAAGACTTGGCAGTTCACAAGCGAAAGGTCGAAATATTGGTCTTGTAACGCAGATCTTGAGTTGGAATCTCCTAACCTTCACAGGGATTTTGAGTTTTGTTTGACGACCGTAGGTAGACAAGAAATCCTCTCATACCGTTGAAGTAAACTGAATTGCTCAACTTCGACGTGAACAGGTGGCTGAAGTGAGGGAGTGGATCGAAGAGCAAGTGCAAGACCCTCCCGAGGTAGGGCCAGGTTGAAGTTGTCTTTTAGACCTCACTATTATGAGCTTCCTTTGTACTGTGAGATTTCTTAACATTTAACAGCCATCCTTTTCTTTTGGTAAACTTGAGGCCTGTCGAAGATGAAATCCAGCTGTTATTACTGCCCCCAATGACATTATTGGAGCTTTGTTTGTTGCTGGCAGTCCCACAGTCGAGTGCTGGTCTTAACCGGCCCCGCAGGCGTTGGGAAAACGGCAAGTCACCAACCTTTCAAAGTATCAGGTTCTAAAATGCATGGATGTTTGCCCAGGCTGAATATCGTGAATTAAGGTTTCTGAAGGTTAATCATCCGTGAAGTTCTTCTTGCTATTGCCTGGACTTCAACCCATTGAAAGGCTCATTCTTGGCTCGAATGCAGGCAGTCGTGCTCACGTTAGCAAAATCTATGGATCTCGAGTTGCTGGAGTGGACAACCCCAACGCCAACTCTGTGGAATGAATTTTCACATCATGCTGCTACAGGTAGTGAGATGGTCTTTCAAATTTACCTTTTTAGTTTCTTTTCCTTAGTGATGGTAGTACCTAGGTCTTGGTTTTCTTCCAGAGTCGTTTTAGGAGATATCTGATTCGAGCATCAATGCTGAGCAGGGGCACCTTACATGTCGAAAATTGATGAGTTCGAGGTCTTCATAGAGAAGGCAAGGAAATTTGTGTCACTTCCAACTTCATCATTAAGCTCTTCAATTCGACCTCAGACAAAGTCCTCAGGGTTGACAAAGCTAGGCGCTTCAAAGAAACGGACCAAATTACTACTGATAGATGACCTTCCCAACGTCCACGACAAAGCGCATCGTCAGCGTTTATCAAGGACCCTGCATGGTCTTGCAGTTTCTTCAAGGTTTCCAACGGTTGTGGTCATTACGGACGCAATTGGCATAGCTGAATACCAAGAAGATAGAAAGGTTGTAACGAGTGAAATCATTCAAGCTCTGGAAAGAGGAGGAGCAAAAAAGGTTGGAATGACGTACTTTTCTAGTGTGTAATGGCACCATTGCCACAACTGTTACTTCTTCCCCTCATGTTCAGCTGCTATTGTAGCCCTCAAGCTTTATAAGGACTCCTGTCACCGCCAACTAAAAGAGAATGTCCAATCTTGCTTCACCCAGATGTGGGCGGACTCTTTACCATCAGACTTATGTGGAAGACAGGGATAAGCTATTTTGCAATTTCTCATTTTGTCAGAGTCTGCATCTGAAACTTTTGTTTTATTGCGCAGGTTGCATTCAACCCGATCACCGTTAATGCTATTTTGAAGGTCCTGAAGAAAGTGCAACTTATTGAGAAGTCCAAGGCTCCGCTCGAGAGTTTAACCTCTATAGCTGAGAACTGTTTGGGCGATATTCGGCAAGCTTTGGCATCCCTACAGTTTCTTTGCCTTGGTCTTGATTCACGTGCTCCACGTAGTTCGAACTGGGACCCCGGAGGTGGTGACGCTTGGAGTTTTGAAACCAAATTGCCATCAAACGATTGTAAAGCGCTTACTCAAAGTAATGTCCCCGAGACGCCAACTTTAGGGGATCGAGACTTGAGTTTGTCCCTTTTTCATGCCCTGGGAAAAATCTTGCACAACAAGAGGTTCAATGATGTGCTGGCTCCTACAAGTGCGTATTCTCCATCAAAGCCCCCTCTTCCTTAAGCTGTGTGTTTCATATCAAGACACTAAGCTGATCATGCATACGGAGCATAGAATGTGGTCACTGTGGTGAGTGTACAATCTCTGAAGGAGTTGTTCGTTGAATCGTACCAGATGATTGTGAGAAGCTTAGGCTGAAAGAGGAGTATCGCAGAAATCCATTGAAAATGGCGGAGCCTGAAGTTGTTTTATCTCAGGCATACGCAGAAACAGCCACAGTAGCTGCGTTTCTTCAGGAGAATGGTGAGTAATCCATTTTGGAATCGACATGGTGTGTACTTGTTTGGAGCAGTTTATGTTTTTGGTCCAGTATAGCGTGAGAAAATGACTTTGTCAATTGTGGGTTTGAGTTGACGTAAAGAATATTGATTGTAAGGTCATCCTTGAGTAGTATAAAGATAGTGGTTTACAAGTGACTCTAGGTTATTGACATTCCTACTGCTGAATTTAAACTTCCACCACCGATTTTGAGTATGATCCTTGCTTCAGTTTTGCAGTTTGTGGATGAGGAAGCTACGGATGATGTAGCGTCTATATCATCATACCTGAGCGACGCAGATTGTTTGCTTGGTGGAGAAGGAAGTATGCGTTCCAGGCGTGGTGCTCTAAACTTTTCTGACGTCGAGCCTTCTCAGGTGGCATACGCCGCCGCCAGTTCTGTAGCTGCCCGTGGAGTTCTCTTCTCCAATGTCCATCCCGCTCCTCCTAGGTTTGTTATTTACATAGTTACGTTGTTCCAGCATAGCTTTGCTGGTTCTGATGACAGCAGCCATGCCAATTAAAAGATATTTTTGTAAAGTAAGAAAGACTAAATAATCGTTACTTGCAGCAAGACGAAAAGAACAAGTTTTGCATACTTTCTTCCGCTTGTTGTCAACGTACAAATATCTGACTGATCTCACAATGTCTTTCTACTTTGCGACTTACCGACTTGAAAGAGCTGTACGCGGATATGTCCTACCTTGTGTAAGTTGTTAGAGTGCTCACTATGCCGCACTGGTGAAACAGGTGGCAGAGTCTTCGAGCACCCTTTCTTTGGCAAGTGGAACGCCAAAGGAATCGGAAAAAGGTATGCTCGAATGGAACAAGAATTTTTGAACTAGCGATAAAACTTATTACTCTTGAGAATAATTTGTCTTTTGAAACCCTCTCCTTTTCCTTTCCCTCTTAATAAAGTTAAGCTGTAAACTTGAATATCGGACATCAGCTTCCGTTGCTTGAAGAAGGAATCACTTCCACTAAGTTCTCCAGGAGTTGGAATTAACATTATGCTTTTGACATATTGTCTGGTTCTTAGACTATTGTGTCAGCATGAGGACGTAATTTTTTAACTTAATCTTTTGTGTGGACCATGAACAGATTGAGATCTCCTCGGATGCCTTGTCCGGTATGTTTCCTACTATACATGTAAGTAGTTCAGTTCTAGCCACGGAGGTGTACCCTTATATTCAAAAACTGCCCAGGCAGTCTAGCAGTATATGGCATGCTACAGAAATCTATGAGCATATATGTGCGGAGCCTCTCATCCCAGATGAAGATGAAATGGAGCTGGATACCATGGCCGACGACGCGAAACCCGTCAAACAGAATAGTTTTGTTCTTGAGTCAATTGATTCAGAAATGGACATAGAAGATGAAATAGAGGAATGGTAAAACACCACGTACTTGTACATAATTTTTTAAACTTATATATACAAGGAGTCATGTGTCTGGAGCCATAAAGTTCAGTCGTGGTGAAGTTGGAATATTGGGTTATTTTTTTGGCCTGTTTCTTGTGCTACGAAGTGTTCGGTTGCGATTTTTGAGATCTGCTAGTTTACACGCAGTAGTTTTGGAAAGTCAATAAATACATGTGGCACTGGAGGTAAACTTCAGGTCAGTTTCTGGTGTTCTGCAATTGACGCTATTCTAGTTTGGTGCAATTCACGGAGGGATCGCAGTCACTTTTCTTGTCTTCTGGAATGCCTTTCAATGAGCTTTGGAGACGTTGGAACTTAAAAACTTTTTTTTTAATTACTATTATTTAAAATCTAGATTACCTCAGATATTAATATACCTTGGTAAGTGTAGTGTAGAACTGAGGAATTACACGCTTCTGTATTAACTTGTAAAGTGATGTTATAGGTAAACATAGCTATCTCAAGGACATGAGTTAAACTCAGCAATTATTTTACATATGATTGTGTGTGTTAATTATAATTATATAATTAACACACATTATGTGTTAATTATAACACACAAACGTATGCATGTGGAGTGAGTGATCTATTACTAATACAACAATCTTACAACTAGATATATATGAAAAAATCAAAAAAATATGATTAGATTCATATTGAATAACAAATTGTTAAAAATCTTTATCCAATATGAACGTTGTATTCATAGAATAACAATAATTTAGGTAATAAGTCTAATATAAAAGTTGTAATGAATGTTAGATGAATAAATTATAAATATATCACAAATAAAATACAAAATACATTATGAATTAATTGTTTTTTTCATAATTGTTTCTATAAATCACATTTATATCAAACAAAATTGAAATTGTTAAATTTCAAAAACATTTTATTTAAATTTTTTTATAATTCACACAAAAAACTATCGATTAACACAAAAAGATAAATTATTCTTTTCTTATTATGGAAATTGAATCTTATTAATGAATTTAAGATCATATATTTATAATCTGCAAAATATTTTCTGAATTAATATTTTTGATATATGATTAAAAACAAATGATTTAAATATATTCTATGTTTAAAAACTTACAATATCTGATAAATTTTTTATATCAGTGAAATAATTAATTTTTTTTAATTTAATTCAAAAATATTTCAAAAATATGATTTATTTTTAATATTAAAAACTAAATTTAGTATATTAAAAATTTATGTTATTTAAGAAAAAAAATTAAAATATTTTATTTAAAATAATTAAAATCTAAAATTTAAATTACTTAACTTAATTTTTTCCTTAAATTTAATGTTTTACATATGTAATTTCAAACGCATAAGTGAAAAGAGTTTTGATAGTTCGATATGGTTCAATTTTGGCACTACTAGCAGGAGTTGGACAAAGTTTTCATGTACGTTTTTCTTCCGCTTGGCTGTACAGTCGACATGATGCACAATGTAACATATGTTTGAATTACTTTAGCCTAATCAGCAACTGGCATTGAATGATGTTTGTCTGTACACGTGATTCTCAACGTAGCGATGAAGTAATCTTAGTTTCAAATTGTTCAAATTATAATAAAAAAATTAAACTTTAAAATTCTAACAAATACAACATAAATTATGAAAATTATTTTTAATAATGTTAAAAATAAAAAAATATTTTTTTAATGTTTATTATTTCATTTCAAATTATTTTGTGAATTTCGAGATTCAATTTACTTTAAACTTGCTATTACAATAAAGAGATTTCTTTGAACAAACCAGAATGCTGTTTTCAGTTGAGTTAGAGGAATGATTGAATTTTATCCAGCACTAACCTCACGGCACACAATCTTCCACAAGTTATTCTTATGATTTCACACAGCCAAATTTAGCTCTTTGACTTGGACTGATCCATCCATTTTTAACTTGCTTTGTCATCTTCGTTCTTACCCCTCAAGCTTAGGCTTGATCCCCCCATGAATATCTTTCCGTGAACACTTCTCGTCCATCTGGAAGAGAAGTAGTCGAGATTGTGGTGATTTGTGCAGATGGCATCTGAACATTTTTTGAGTTCCAAACCCTGCATGCTTGGCTTAAAACCTCCCCATCTCTGGATGTTGAATATATAGCTAGACTGCTTTGTGTAGATCTTTCGAGTAGTATTGGAAGTACTCTCAAATTTGAATATTTCCCTGCATTGCTCCGTGTACACCTGTCTATAGTGACTCGAAGTACTCTGATCAGTAAAAATGAAATGCATGTGTTAGATTGTTTTGAAAAAAATATATCCAAGAGTGGACGAACTTACAAAAAGATTTGCAAAATATGTGGATATGTACACTATTGAAGAGTGTATTCATGTTGATGCTCGGAAGAAAAAGCAAGTTATTACTTTCAAAAATAAAATTGTTTTTGAAAACTTGTTGAGTGAAAAATCCCAATGGATTTGCTATTTAAATTTTCAACTTTCGTCATTATTTGTTACAAACATCAAAATTGCACTCTTTGCTCATGATAAAAGTTTCATGACTTCCGAAACTCCAGCTTGAGATAATTTATTCTATACTCTTCTCCTCTACTTAATAATATCATATTTGAATTACGTTGTATCTGTAGTTTACATCCCCAAACTTGATTAGATCATAATGAATCCAAACTGGCTCACTAATACATTGTTGGGTGAATTGGTAGCTATATAACTAGTCTTTTCCGACAAATCATTGTCACGTGTATAGAGTAATTAATTATCCAACATAAATGTTGCCACTCACTAGGTTGCCGTATTTCTATTTTTGCACAGTACATTGAATACTACATTGCAAAATGCTCGTCATCTCCATGTCGCATCATTACCCTCCTCTTTGCTCGTGCGTTACTTCCAGAGTAATGCTTGACATTCACCACAATTATCCACTTCGGCATTTCTTCATTGAACCTTACGTTCTTGTTGTCCCCGATCAAATGAATGGACTAAACCCGGAATCTACAGTTACTCTTGTTCTCTTGAATTGAGATCTAGAAACTGATCCAAAAACGCTAATTACGATTATCAATTCTCAATGTGCAATAACACTTCTCCCTCAATAACCTCAAAACTAGACCTGCTGGAGTTCAAATATATGAGTTGTTAGATAATCTGCCATAATTAGCCGGTATGCACAAGCCGTTAGAGTAGTGCACGCTTTTGTCGCTCTCGCTGCAATGAGTCGTTAGGTCAAATAAGTCATGTGTGGTGTTCATGCAGGAGTGCGTTCGAGTTTTTAGGATCGTGCATGGCGTGTACGTGGTCATGGGTTGGTATAATCAGTAGTGTGTGCGTGTTATGCACTTCGGAAGGTGTTAGATAGTGTATGTGGTCTTTATATATCTGCTTTACAAAATAAAAGACTGCCAGTTTTTAGAGCATCAAAATTACTTTGTTCGCGTGTGTTCTGTTGATCAAACATGTTGTTCTGTTGTGTTTTCTGTGTGATTTGTTGAACAGGCTGGAGCGGGTCGTTCCGGCCCACAATCTGATATCAAAACAAGAGTTTGAGTGTTCCTAGCAACGTCATGTCCATGAAGTTGCATGGGAGTTCGTCACGGACTCCTTTGTGGGATGAGCGACACCACTGGCTCTTCCCTCCTCCTCGCCATGGCTGACACTGTGACAACATCGGCCAAATTGTTGTCCACCGCATTGTTAAGGAGGCGTCGGAGACTTTCCAGTACCCAATGCTGACTAGACAAACTATCATGAATGGGAGCTCATGATGATCATCAACCTCCAGGCGCAAAGGCTTGGGCATCATTTGAGATTGGTAGCGTGAAATACAGCTAGGATCGACTCACGTTAGCTGCGATTGTTCGTCCAATCATGCCAGAGATGTTGTACACTATAAAGAAAAAGTCCACAGCCAAGGAGGCGATCAAGATCATGCGGATGGACGTTGATCGCGTTCACGAGAGCAATGCTTAGAAGCTGCGGCGCGACTTCAACAAGATCGCCTTCAAGGATGAAGAGTATGTTCACGACTTTTACATGTACATCACCAGCCTCGTCAACAACCAGCATCTCCTTGGCGACATCATCAACGAGTGTAAGTAGTGCACAAAATGTTGAAGATCGTTCTTGAGCAATTTGATCACTTTGCAATCTCCATCAAGACGTTGCTCGACGTCAGAATGATGTTTGTCGAGGAGATGACGGGACGACTGCGTGCTGTCGAGCAGAGACATGAGGCGCGGAGGCTGACTGCAAAGATGGACTCGCGACTGCTACTCTCCACCAAGGAGGAGAAGATGATCTGTTGCATGCGTCGACAAAAGAAGGAGGCCGTGTGCGGTGGTGGCGACTTCGGCTGCTGTTATTGGACTTCGCAACCCGGCTCGTCACAACCGAGTCGTGCGCGTAAGGCGCCCCGCAAGGCCACCAAGGGGTATCAATGCCGCTACTGCAAGAAGTATGTGCACTAGAAGCGTGATTGCAGGAAGAAGAAGCGCGACGAGACAGCGAACTTGGTCCATGCGCAAAAAGACGGGGAGGACGAGCCAATCCTCATGATGGCATCGATGAACTCATCGGCGCATAATGAAGTGACGACCGCGGATTGTAAGACCGGATGTTGTATGTGTGAAATAAAACTAGAAATAACCAAGGAGTCAATCATGGTTAGGATAGTTATGACTAAGTGTAGCTAGTTATAACTAAGTTTATCAAGTTACAACTATGTTTAGCAATAATGTCTATACTTGGCGGAATAACTAGAGAAGTTCTAAAAGATTTAAGTGAGCACTTCTATTTTGTTTTAAACAAAAGTCTAGATTCAAAGAGAAAATACTTTTGACTTCATGTTTAGTTTTGATTTGTTTGACTAAATAAGTAATACTCTATTGGTTAGAATAAGTCTAATGTTCACTTAGTGGCAAGTGGAGGTTTGTAACACTAGGGTTTAGAGAGAAGTTCACTCGAAGATAGAAACGTAAACTCTGAAGATGAGAGATACCAACAATGGTTCTCCTCTCCCTTATATAGCTCTCACCAACAAGTACAAGGTGATAAGATCTAATCCC